TTAAGCGCTTTTCATTTTCTGACCACACGTTTCCGACTCTCTTCCCAAAACATCCCAATCATTTGTATTAAGAACGCCATACACAATCACCCATACACACGAACGGCACATGTATACCAGCACAAAAGTCACCGCTCAGCAATGACAGACACAGACCAACTACGACCATCAAACAAAAAAAAACCTTTTTCGATGTCAAGCGCAAGTAATACAAAAAGAAACACATTGTCATAGTTTTAAGTAGAAAAATAAATAGTGATTCAGTTAACAATTTAAAACCATTGCATTTATCATTTTATTGCCCCTAAGAACCTTCTTGTGCTTGAACAATTTGCCTGACATTCATATTTGTCAGAGATGGCCAGGGTGTAAATTTTCCCATCTTCTCGATGGAGCCTTCATTCGCTATGTAAGATTGACGATGATGCATTCAAAATATATTTAACTAGCCGAATCGGCTTATATATAAAACTGATTTTCCGTCTGTCTGTCTGTCCTACTTTTTTTATTTTCACGATTTTTTAATTCTTGGTTTTGTTAATGAATATGCGGTTAGAGTTCTCGCGGCTTAAATAGCAGATTCACATATCAGTTTTGAGGCCAAGTTTTTTGTTTTCGAAGGAGATATTTTGAGTGAAACAAAAGTTCAGTCAATTTTAAATTGGAAATAGCAGAATTTTATTGCGTTTTATATGTAATAAAAATTGAAGAATATTGATGAATAGTGGTTCAATTGGACAAATATCTATTTACAGCAATAATGTCTCTCTCTTATACTTATTCATACAACAATACAGTGATTATAGCTACCATAACCATAACTTCTCTTTAAAAGCTCATTTTTCCTATAAATACTGCGATTTTTTTGTGTGTAATATGAAATGCTCTGATTATAATCTATAATAATAATACAAATATGCTTATCAATATGATCTGTTTTCAATCAAAATAAATTCATGTGCAAAATAAAATACTCAATAAAATTTCTTTCTAGAATAAAAAATGGTTGAAAAACTTCAAAGTTGTTAACGTTTAATGGAGCATATGCGTTGTTTATTTATTCGAATTTTTATTCAACAAAATGTGTGTACCACATAATGGTTTTCACACCTGCTGCACGCTTTTCGGCGATAGCTCGGTCACATCATCTTTTTTAGCGATTATAATACAAGTGTAATGAATACTCGCGATAACGCTGATATTAATACCGATGCAATTGAGCCATGAGAATATATAATCGCCGCCGATGAACATGCCGAGATAAGAGACGAACACATTTTTAAAGCATCCCACCATGGCTGTCGTCAGTGCCGAATTGTATTGTGTGCAAAGAAATGTGGAATAGGTAAGGATGAATCCCATGAAACAGCTCGCGAAAAATTGTGCAAAGAACCAAAGATTTGTCCAGTGTTTATATTTAAAAGCTGTGTTCAAATCACCGTTGAACCAAGCGGTTACAATGGCTGGAACGATCATAATCAATGAATTATAGAACATTACTCCATATTTGTTGATGCTGTCAGCTGTGTTCAGTTTTTGCTTGATATAAACTCCATAAGCGGCCGTCATGAAATTGGCGAACATCACGTATGAATAACCCTCGATAGTGAATGTTAGATCGTCAACAGCTGCCAAAAGCGCACCGCCAACCATGCAACAGACACTTATTCGTATCGCTAGCGATGGCTGGACACCCAAAATTTTAATTTCCAGCAGCATCGTCAGTAAAATGGAGACTCGTCGAAATGCCGTAAACATAGGCAACGGCATCGCCTTTGTGCCACCCAATCCGGTTACCATATTACCGAAATGAAGTATCGGCAGCGGCATCATTTTTCGGGGAATATCACTTTTGAAATCCGGGAATGTAATCACATCCATTTGTTTACCAACATACAGTACGATAATGGCGGCCGCTAACTGACCGATACTAATCACGAGAAACGATGGAAAATGCCATGATGTGAGCACCGTTTTATTAACAACGGTTAGAAAAAACGAAGCAATCCCATAAAACAGTGCACTGCCAATTTTCTTCCACAGTTCGGAAATTTCTTGTGGTTCTTTATCACAGGTCAACAGTTCATCTGTGGACGATGATGAATCCTCTCCAGTGGGTAACAACTTATACATTTCGTTAGATTTTGTTCTTGTCATTTCCATGTTTATCGCTGGATCTATTCGGAAGATTCACTCTAAGTTTCAGATCAGGACTGATCATAAGCGCCAAAATTCTGGTTGAATAGATCTAGCGCTTATTTCACATCCAATTATTATATCGACGGCAGTTAGCAGACGTATTAATTGTTAATAAAATTAGATCAAATCTAAATTTCATCTGAGCAAATACCAATATGTAGACAGGTGATTACCCACTATAAACAAAAATGGCACAGAATCGAAAGAAACAATTGCAAAACAATTATTACAAGAGTCAACGTTTTCGTTTCCATGTTGCTTTGTTGGCCGTTATATTTCTTTGAAAAACTTCAATTTTTATAGTTTTAATTGACATGGCAAATTTAACGATTTCATCGTCAAATAGATGAAAATATACCGGCTGGTTGTTTATTTATTTTTAGAATTCTACTGAAAAATTGGTGATGGTAAATTGTAGTGGGTTTGTTATAATAATGAGGATAAAAGACGGTGTTTTTACGTTAGCATCAAACTTAATTATAATTTTTATAGTCAATGGCTAATTGTAGTAAGCGAGTGTCGTATACTTGCCGCAAGATGTGACACCGTTAAAGCAATGATGAATCTCAATTTGAAATTAGAAAGATCTTTCGATAAGCAAAAAAACTAGGGGGCCTCACGCCAAAATTTATGCACCAAAATGTATTTTTATTATTCAAATCTTATGAAATTTACTAAAATTCCACAAATTTTTCTATTATTAAGCGAACACGGTATTATTCAGTATTATTATTCATATTCCCTTTATAAGATAACCACATTTGAACCCGTGAGCATAAAAACGACTTATTAAACAATCGCCGAACAAAACGATTCAAGAAAAAACTACCGAACACAACGTACCACAGCGGTAATGTGTAGCACAGCGGAGTTTCGTTTTGAACGGTACCGTCCTGCTGTGTTACGTTTTTAACGTGTGTTTTGTTTGGTAGTTTTTTCTTGTATCGTTTTGTTCGGCGATTGTTTAATAAGTCGTTTTTATGCTCACGGGTTCATTTTTGTAATCTAAAAACGTCATTCGCTAGCACTATTCGAGCACTATTTTTTTACATGTTCTGGTTTACCAACACTTTTTCCGGGCGGTGCTGATGACATGTACCTCTCATTGTACGCCCATATGAACGCTATGCGTTGAAATTCAGCCCGCCGTGGTCAAAATGCGAGAAGTAACAACAAGCATTAGGCGAGAGCAGTGCAGCACACTGTATTGCTCTCGCTCCAACACACACCGCAAAGTGTATATAATACGAAATGAGTATAGAAGAGAGTAGACAGCCATTCACTGTTTAATACAGTGATGAACATTTCAAACTCTTCCACTTCACAGCCTGATGAGTGCGACGAGTGGGTGATCAAGATAAACTCGATAAGACACAAAGATAAAATTATATTTGCAAGTATTTAGACAGGTGGATTATATGGCCATAAGTACTGTTGCTATTTGAAAACGAAAGATATGAACGGTGTTAAAAGGAGCCACTGGTAAGGGAACTTGTTTGCGATTAGATATGAATGTAAATCAAGATCAAAATCCTAAACCTCCTTCTGGGAATTACAAGCTTGCCAACTTCTGCTAATAAAAAAGATTTTATAGCCATTTTTTATGAGAATTGTATTTTTATTTTCGTTTCCAACATTTTTAATAAACACAGTAGAATTTTTACAAAAAACATATTTCTGAATTTTTGTTTTAAATATTCTTTGTATTCTCGTTAAATTAATAACCGCGTAAAGTTGCATTAACTCCTTCTCGGTCGAGTATATTCTTAACTTCTGTAAAATCCCTTTTCTTTGGTGGCGGTGGGAAATGACGTTTAATTCCAAAGGGTTGCAGCCTATACGTGAGGAAATACATCGAGTATTGATATTTAGCTGGGATGTAATGAAAACTAATCGTATAATTTGAGCAGCAATCCAATCCTTCATCGTTCCAATAGTATTTGACTTGCCAGTACCCAAAATTGGGATCGGGTTTGCCGAATAAATGCGCCTCTGGCTTATATGGAAAAAAGCGATCTCGTTTAAGCAAATCTCGTGAATCACCGGCATACACATTATAATGGTCAAGACAAAGGGAAATATCCCAATCTTCGGCTCTATTATCGGTTTCAATATGACAATCATTTGGTGGTTCTCTTTCTGATTTTCGGAAAAACTCTTTGTTTGTTAGCATTTTTTCAACAAACGTTTGGACGGTTTTTCGGCTCATCACATAACCACTGCCACCACTAAAGAAGCCTGTTTTATGTAGTGATGAGTTGAATTTGTACCCGAAATAAATTGGATCCTCAGTTGAGTAAGCTGACAACATGTAACGTAAGTTTTCAGTGATTAAAAACATGTCATCATCACCTTTTATAAACCAGTCGTAATCGTTGATAAAATTCTTGTGAATATACTGCATCATCAATTTCACTTTGCCCCACATATGGTCATGATCATTAGTGACATTGAATCCAAGGGCTCCCAAATTTATATCAGTTAACGTACTGGAAAACAATAATTTGTCACAATGTTTGCCCCACGTCTGCTGGATATGAACCGCTCGTGATGAATGAGTCTTTGGCATCGTATGCAAGAAACACAATATTCGGATCTTTTTTACATTCTCAACACTTGTTTGCGTCAAATTGAGATGGGGTCCTTTTCTTAAACTCACTTCAGCCACCTTGAATTTGTTGATATGTCGAATTGATTCTGGATCCTTAACTGTTAGAATAGTGATGAAAAATCCAATTCCAATTCCAATTAGAAACCAACAAAATATTATTTTTGCGTTCATCTTTTAAATACACTTGCGATAGTGCAGAGTTGATAATGAAGCTGACGGTTGAAATGGCTCTTATTATTTAAATGATCTAATTTATACTGGCTTATATCGTTGAAATAAGACATAGTATTTATATCTATCGAAAAGAAATATCCCAAACTCTTACATGAGATGAATCCGCGTTTTCTATAGACTAGTTGCCCAAGTAGAAATACAAATACTCATCTACTAAAAACACAGTTGAAGAAATAAACAAATTGGCCAACTTTTAAACATATTTCCAAAATAAATACGTCAAACTTTTGGTTGAATACAGGGTGCGATCGAATAACTGTCGGTATTATGGTTCAGGTCTTAAAATACACACTTTCAATTATAATTGAAAACTTTCTTTGCCATTTTGTAGATTCAACATTATCACAACTATTTCAGTCATTAGACTGAATTTTCATCATAGTTTATTCGATTGAGAGCCATAGATGTACCGAAAAAAATGTTCAAAAATATCACTTTTAGCACGCAACCTCAAACAAAATTGTTTCAGGTTTTTCCCTGATCTCGCTCAGCCACGTCTGAAATGATTATCATTTGTGCTCTTGCAGTATTAATTCATGATGCCTTGGGAATTAGAAAACCCTATCAGTACTATCGTGATATGTCTCAGCTGGCGGCGATAAGCTTGTTTTAAAGCCGACCTATATTTTCCGAATTTTTCGTAAAAATCGGCTAAAATCACAATTTTAATTAAAATCGCAATACGAAAATGTATTTAAATAGTCATGAAGATGAGAACACTGAATTGGCCATCATAGATACATGTCTACAACAGTCAACAGAGAGCTATGTGGTAGATAGTTTTGAACCACGCTGCATTGTATCGAAACACAAAGATTCATCGATTACGACAATATAAGATTTTCGTGAATCTGATAAGTGGATGATAAAATTTTAGGTTGACGATTCTCAAAAATGTTGCGTGCTGCGGGTGGTGTTTTTTTTGGCACACCAATGGCTCTAGCTCAGCCAAAATTTTAGAAAATCTTAATCTGACGACTGAAATGAAAATATTCCGACCGCATCTACCACGTGCAAAAAGAATTACTCGATCATATTGAAAAATGTGCGTTTTACAGCCAAATATAAAACCGACAGTTATTCGATCGCACCCTGTAGATCTAGCGCTCATTTCACATCCAACTATTATATCGACGGCAGTTAGCAGACGTGTTAATTGTTAATAAAATTAGATCAAATCTAAATTTCATCTGAGCAAATACCAATGTGTAGACAGGTGATTACCCACTATAAACAAAAATGGCACAGAATAGAAAGAGACTATTGCAAAACAATTATTACACGTGTCAACGTTTTCGTTTCCATGTTGCTTTGTTGGCCGTTATATTTGTTTAAATGGACATGTCAAATTTAACGAAAAATTTACACACAAAAACACCGTTTTTTATTTTATTTCAGAATTCCATTACAAAACTATTGATATTTAAACTCATTTTCACGCAACGCACATTGCACAAATTATCACTAAATGACTGACGAATTATTCTCCTACATTCTCCTATATGTATTGAGATAATGATAGGTACCTATCTGTGATGTTTACTCCTATTTATTGTAAATTTTGATATTGATCTTTGTCATAGCCATCCATTCAGTTGGCGAGTTAATATTCCAGTTTTTGAATCAATTTTGAATTATTTTCCTATTAGCATCAAATTATACGCTTCAAATCATGGCCAAATGTTAAAATCAAAGCACTCTGCAGCCAACATGGATCTGCCTAAACCCACGTAGGACTTCTCGTCAATTTATCTACCGGTATAAATTGAGTGACGACTTTTGCTGTCCTAGAGTCTCTTATAAAAGTGTAAAACTACTTGTCCTCTTTGAAACGTTTACCAAAAGTTATTCTGGACCGTTTTCTATCTGTCTACTATCAAGCATTTCCATCTTGGTTGTATGACTATGTTTTTGTTTTCATGTGCCCACTTTTGTGAACCTTGCATAATATATGAAAAGAGCCAGGTTTTTAACGAGGCGAGAACTGAAAGTTGTACTAAATCAGTGTAAATTATTATAAATTGATGTAACAGTCTTGCAAACTTATTCAAACCTCTATTTTATTCAGCCAGAGCTTGACGGTGTTAAAAAAACCAAATTGTGGTGGATTTGTATTTGTGTGAGACGCAAAGTGCATAAGTTTATCCAACTCCGTAGCAATAAAGAGAAGTATGTTTCATTGAAACTAATAACAGTCTTTTTATTTATGTATGTTTATTTTGCTTCAACAGTGTCGCATCTGGCGGCCTAGTTTCGCCTTTTTGATGATAAAATCGTTAAATTTGACATGTCAATCAAAACTATAAAAATAAAGTCTAATTAAAAGAAAAATAACGGCCAACAAAGCAATATAGAAATAAAAACGGTGAAACTTATAATACTTATGCGGCTTATAATAGTTTCTTTCTATTCTGTGCCATTTTTGGTTAAGGTGGATAACAGATAGACACTGTCTATACGCTGGTATTTGCTGAGATGAAACAAACATGTGTTTTAAGATTGCTGAGCATCGCAGCATTTCGTAAGGCACGGATATATCCGAGCATATCGACGACGCATACTGTATAATACAGTGGCGTGTGTTGCTACGTGCAGCCGCAACGACTCGACCGAAGTGTGTTCAGTTGATGTGGCTACACGCAGCAACAACATACACATTCCGGTCGAGTCGTTGCGGCTGCGCGTAGCAACGCACGCCACTGTATGCGTCGTCGATATGCTCGGATATATCCGTGCCTTACGAAATGCTGAGATGCTCAACAATCTTAAAACACATGTTTGAGATGAAATCTAGTTTAGATCTCATTTTTTCAACAAATAACACGTCTATTAAATCATCGATATAATAGTTGGATGTGAAATGAGCGTCAGTTCTATTCAACCGTTCTATTCAACCAGAAGCTTTTGCGATGAGCGCTGACAATTGTCTACGACAACATTTTCCTTTGAAAAAGTTCGGCACATTTACTGTCTTCTTATTCATGTTTATTGCAACGTTTGGGCTTTCAGTATGGTGATTATTGAAATTTTTTATATTGGTTATAAAATTAAACAAGAAATTCATTATTCTGATAATCATTTCAGGGACTTCGAAAAAGTTTCACAGAATAGTATCTCTCAAAGTTTGTTCAATAAAAATCAAGAATATATTTCTGGGCACTACGATTACGATTCGTCCAGCTTTTTGATAGCCGTTAAGCCCAAACCGTGGTATTTTACAAATGGCACACGTTATCCAAAGCCAGCATCCATTTCCAATGAGACAGGCATACGAGATGCAAAATTGTTACCTCACGAAGATCCAGGAAGTGATCGTATTGTGAATCAAATGATGTTTATTCCCCCGAATTACGATCCGTCTCGTAGAAAGGAGATAATGAAAACAATCTATGTTCCATTGGGCCTACCATCTTGGTGGAGACGCAAAAGTGGTGAAAGTGCATTTGTAGATTTAAAGTGCCCTGTCGACGCGTGCAGGATTACAGATGACGCCAAAGAGAGAAAAAACGCTGATTTAGTTATGTTTAACAACGACTACATTCCTTCAAATGAAACGCGACCACCAAAACAATTGTATGCGATGTATTATACGGAACCACCTGTGTTCACGAATAATTTGGATCGTCCAGGTAAAATGAGTTTTTGTCAGAACTTTGTTTCGCATATATAATAATATAATATTTGAACCGTTGCGACCAAATAGAGGCTATTAAAAATTAACTTAAATTGAACGATGCGAGCGCCCCCAATTTCAAGGGGCACATCAATGTAATTTTCAATTTCAAATTGGAACTAAACAGCGCGGCAATTCAAAATGTGACGAAATGTACTGTCACCAGCCGCCCTATGGTTGCGACGAAAGGTTGGCTTCATTATACTTGAGAAATGAATCGAATCGAAGCATGGTACTTAGCTCCAAACAAAGAGCAAGAATGCAAGATTTTGGATCAAAGCGACATAAAGCAAATGTGAGAAACAAATTGGAACATAACGAATTATGTTGCAGTTTAAAGCCGAAATTTGCTTTGTGGCAATTTGTTTCTCAAGTTAGCGTGGTTTCTATTTGAAAATTTCTATTTCTGGCATGATGAAGTCTGTTTTAAAGTTATGAATACGTTGATAAGGAGCGTGAATTTCAATATTGGATACACAGAATAATGTATTAGAATCAAAGAAAATTTTAACTATTTTTTTTTTTCGTTTTTCTCACATTTGCTTTGTGTTGCTTTGGTTCAAAATCTTGCGTGCTTGCTTTTTGTTCGCAGCCAAAATCTATCTTTCGTTTCATTTCTCAAGTGCTCTGAAGCCAACTTTTTGTCGCAACGGTTCATTTCTTATTTTTAAAAAAATTGGTTTTGAAATCTTTCTTATCAGATGTCATCAATTGGACCATTTCATACAGGTACTTGACTTTGTTATTTTTATTGCATACTTATTCGCTTCATTAGCAAATTTCATTGACTTTGTTCTTTGAAGGTACGATAGTACAATTGCCGTTCCATATAATAAATGGCTGTATTACGATCCGAGGATAAAACAAAAAGAACAAGATCGAAACTATGCGGCGAATAAAACGAAAAAAGTTGCCTGGTTTGTTTCCAACTGTGTGAGCGCTATCAATGGTCGTCTAGAATATGCTAAAGAGCTTCAAAAGCACATTCAGGTTCGACAAAATTTAAACCAATTTTTAGTATAGTTTGAAAGAGTCGAGAATTCAATCAAAAAGACATACTTTTTTAATGCCAGGTCGATATTTACGGTAAATGTGGAAATTTGACGTGTACATGCAAGGACAAAGACAAATGTTTCGATATGCTTGATGAGGATTACAAATTTTATTTGTCATTTGAAAATTCAAACTGCAAAGACTACATCACCGAAAAGTTCTTCGACACTGGGCTACAACATAATATCCTACCAATTGTGATGGGAGCACCATGCAGCACGTATGAAAAATATGCGCCTCATCGGTCGTACATTCATGTCGAAGACTTTGAATCGCCAAAGCAACTGGCCGAATATCTGCACATTTTGGACCGAAACGATAATTTATACAACTCGTATTTCAAATGGAAAGGAACGGGTGAATTCGTTGGGAAAGGACCAGCTTGGAGAGCAACATCGGGGCCCTACTTTTTCTGTCGATTGTGCGCCATGTTACACGATGAGTACAGCACCACAACTCTACGCTGGTATAGCAATATGAATGAATGGCAACATGGAAAGGACGTTTGTATTAAGGGCTTTTGGCGAGATGTTAAAACAGAAAACAGTTAAATATACGTGCGTATGACAAATTCAACGAATGGTGAGGATAAAGCTAGATCGTGCGCACATCATCTCCATTTGCTGACAAAACTATCTTCATCTTACAATATTATAAATTTTTAAATAAATTATAGTAAACGTGGTTCATTCGTTCAAACAAAGGGGCTTACCATGCGTTGTTTATTTATTCGAAACTTATCGAACAAAGCATGCGTCATATTAAATAAATATGTTGATAATAGTTAGTAGAAATGGGAATGGGGGAGTGTTTGAACTGAAGCGCAACATGAAATCTGTTTCTTAAAAACTTTTATATAGATCGTCGCTTCAATAGAATCGTAACATGAAAAGTGTGAATTGTGAATGGGAAGGAGATAATGGATAAGAGATAATGAGTTAGTATATTCAGCAAAGTTTTTGGACTTGACCAATTCTATAACTTATCATATAATGTTTTCCATGTTTACATAATGTGAACCGCTCGTGTTGAATAACTCTTCTACATGGTGCTCAAATAACATAAAATTCATATCTGTTTTAAAACAAATTTTATAATTATATCATCAACACTTGTTTGCGTTAAATCAAGAGAGAAAGCTTGTATAGAGGAAAATAGGTAATAAAAACACAAAGGAAGTAAATCTGTTCAAAAGCGTGAGCATAATAATCCTAAATCCTTCTTACTTCGCTATTTCCCATATCGATTATAGATTGACAAAGCCGTTTTCAATACTGTCTCATTGAGTATCAAAATAACACGAATCCTAAAATAAATAAATCTATTTTTAATAATTGAACAATAAGCAAATGATTTCTCACAAATAAAATTGTCAATTCAGAATCGGCAATTAATTATTATGGGTTATGATTTTTTTCTTCATTAATTCAGGTGTGTTCATGTTGAACAAATGAAATGGCGAACATTTTAAGCTCAAATAGGTAAAACACCTCTAAAAAATCAAATTACACCTAAAACAAGTGTATACTTCAAAATTTCAAGTAATTTCTTTGAAAATATTTATGTGAGGCAGCGATGACATCGAAAACTCAAAAATAAATAAAATCCACATTCATCTTTTCATTCGACCAGTAATTTTTGTTCTTAATTCTACTCAAAACAGGATTTTTATATTCAAATTCATATCGTATAATAATAATGTAATTGCTCATTTCTTTTAATATTTATTCTAAGTCGAGTCAAATACGGCTTACACTGAGCAAATAAAATACAGATATCTGAACAAAGAATAAAATTTCGCCGACAAAGCGTTGGGTTTGTGTATCAATTTATGCAATCATTTTATGCCATGAGTATATAATATGGTTAAGTTATTTTGTATACGAAATAGTGGAACTTAAATTCGTCGTACCCAAAGGAGACACTTCATTACGTTTAATATAGAAGTATGCTAATGGAATCACAAAGAATTATTTGAATTGAAGTAAATTTGAACCGAATTATAAATATTTGGATTTATAAAATAATTGTGTTGCCACGCAAATGTAGCTTAAAATGGGTTAAGTAGTCGATATGTAAATACATTTACATGTAAAAGAAAACATAAAATACACATTTTGAGCTGATAATTAAAGATTATTATGTAGGTAGTTCATTCAAAGTAATATCAAAACATTTTTGTACAGATTTTTGTTCTTTTCCTTTTGTTTCCATTTTGTTGTTTGAGTTTGTTTTTTCAAAGCTTGTCAACAACAAACAAAACACTCTTATCAGTCCCACGTCAGTGAAATTGTATCGTTTATTGACTCTTGAAAAGTAGATCAAAAGAAGTTTCTGTATAAAATATAGAATGTGGTTATCGTTGTTGTTATCGATCAATCCATTCGTGATAGATGCATTCACTTTAATCATTTATTTTTTATTCAAATTGAGTAATGGCTTTCTTGCTGGGCCGCATGCAAAATCGCTGTTCATACGATTGAATTCATCTTTCAATGCGGCGCCACATTCATTAAACCGTTTCGTCAGTTTCAATTGTGTTGCCTGAGCGTCGGCCCATCGATTTTCCTGTACGGCCGCCAAGATTTCCTGTGCCATTTCGGGGAAGACATTCAAAGAAATCAAAATGCCCGAGTCAAATCCTTGAGTCAAAGCAGCGAGAAAAATTGTATTTGATCCGAGGAACACTTTTCGACCGGGTTTCAAACAGGCAACACCTTCGTTCAAATCGTTGCTGGTAAACTTTATTCCATTGAATGTTGGGATTTGCTTTTCTGCTAAGTCACACAGTCTCGGCATTAGCACTGAAATTGTAACAATTGTGGAAAATTAATTTAAAGAGTTGAAGTTTTTTTTGAAAAAAGAAATTTGAATCCAAATCAGAGACACATTTTGACGGTGAATAGGGATTCAAAATGATACTAACAGTTGACTTTGCTGAATGCTGGGAAGTGATAGTAGAATAATGGTCGTGTTGGACAATGTTCAGCGACTTTTTTCAAATAGTCGACCAAATCCTCTTCGCATGTTGGCTTGAAAAAGAGTTCGGGCAAGCAAAGGACAGCATCGGCTCCTTTTTCCTCAGCATGTTCAGCCAAATCATGAACAGTGGAAACGCCCGTACCTCCCACTTGAACCATGCACTTGAGATTGTGTTTGCGACATGACTTCAACCACTCTTCGAAATTGTGCTTGCGTTCTTCAACTCGTTGGCAAACACCTTCACCGGTTGTACCATTGACGAGCACTCCGTGGATACCGCGTTGTTTCAACCAAGAGGCATATTTATCAATCACATCGTAACGAATCGTTCGTTTGCTAACACAAAAAACAGGATGTGTTTAAATTGATGTATGAATATTGACATTATGTGAATAATGTTTGGCTTTAGCTTCATCGAAAAATCTCTGAACATTTTAAATAAATAAGTAAAAATAATGGAATACCTGTCATTGGCAAATGCCGTGAACACAGGACACATCAAACCAGAATAATTGAATTTCACTGCTTTCATTTTTGCGCGGAACAAAATGATCAACACTTTAGCTTCTCTCCTATCAAGTGATACCGTGAGAATGACCGCTGATTGTGAATTTGTTTACAGATTGCCTATGATTACGTACAATCGCTGCAAATTTTATTTATTCATTTATTTATTCACGGCAATACATACCATAAAAATACCTACATACATGAACTAATTGAACAAATTGAATTCTGTAAGTATTTAAATATGAAAATATGAATGTATTGTAAATAGTTTGAATTTGACATTTTTTTGTTTCTCTTAGTGTACTGTTTTGTTTTTATTTTTGTTTCTGATCTTTTATCTAATTTGATTGTTTATTTGATTGTAAATCAACTCGTTGGCAAACACCAAATGTCAAGTTTTTTTTACAAACACAGTGGCAGCAAACTATTTACAATAGCGCGAACGTAAACACATTACTGTTGCGAATACAGGTGTTTCCTCGGCAGATTTCCATGAAGTCTTAGAACAATAAATGCCAAGGTCATTTCTCTATTGATATTTGCATTCTAAAAACAGCAACGATTTTAGAAGCAATCATTCCGAAATGATATCAGTTCATATTGTGTGTGTATGCGTGAGTAAATCATATTGAATCAATACCTTAAAAATCGTCAGCTGATTGAATATAAATACAATTAGCGGTCATTCAGACACGTTTCTATGTGTTTGACGCGCTCAATTGCGAATTTTAAACTTGAAAATTGAATAACAAATTGTTAAAAACAATAAATATTTTCTTTATTCCAATTCAATGATCGTCTACAAATCCAACTTAGCATGAGATAATTCTAACTATGGCTACTCGATGCAAGCAACTAATTTCACTCGGTTTTCTCTTGATTAGTCTGAAATAGCGAAATAAATTGGTGATCAATATTGGTTATATTAAAATTCTTCTTCGTTCATTCAGAATGAGAACAGATGGATGATAAAATGTACAAACCCCAAGTCGTTGTTTCCAGTATTGCTCCCATTTTTTCAGTTCGTTAGCACTCAAACGATTCCCTGAATGCAGCGAATATACTCCAGCCAGCGCTCCAAAGATCAAACCATATCCAGTCCCTTTCAAAATGCATTGCGTCCTGTATGAATATTTGCCGGTGTGTTTCTTCGTTTCGAATCCCAGTGCAACCGGATCGCTAAATAAGTAACCAGCCAGTGTACCACTGACTAATCCGGCTGTTATAAACTCTTGCCAACTGTGTTCATTCCGAAAAACTGGTATGAAATTGATTAGAGTTCTGTGATTTGGAAAGAAAATCAAAGTTTCAATTGAAAAACCAACCGAAAATCGATTTGTCGTTGTTTTTGCATCGGAGTTTTTGTCATTACTACTTACGCAAATGTAATTGATACATAAAAGCTTTTCACACCCCAAGTGAGTGCTCCTCTGATACCACCCTTAACCATTTTGTTGGTTAAATCCGCTTTGGCGTCTGTATGCCATTTGTATTGACTTGCCGAGGCATTTTCCATAAAGTCCATGTACTGATTCTTTGTAAAGATTGAACCGCCTATTGCAACTCCAATTATGATGCTGTTCTGAACGTATGCTATCATACTGGCCATTTCTTGTGATAAACCGCCATATTCGCTGGAATGGAAAACCAACTTTGATTTTATTCAAATACAAATGCATTTAAAATTATTTTTTACTCGAAATAGAAACTGAACTTACTTTCGATTTGTTATCGCTTTCAGTCGTTCCCAAACACTGTCATTCGTTGATTGGTTCATTTGTACTTCTTGAGCATGCACAACTGGAATCAATGTACTGTGTAGTACATTTCCAGCCTTGCCAAATATCAGGCCAAGCATTTTCTTTCGTCCTGCAATATACAAATTGAAGTTATCACACAAAAATCGAGTTAAAACACAAAATCGAATGTACACATTTTTATTCAACAATCAGAAACATGGACAATGTAATGCGGCTTTCTGTCAAAACAGCTGACTTTGGTGAAACTAACCTCACTTTTCTAGCTTGTCAATTTGAATAATTTCGGCGTATTGTCTCGTTACAAATATGATTTAGTCTTTCGTCAAATCGCCACAATTTATGCAAATTTCAAGAGGGGAAAAAAGAAGAATAAAACATTAACAAATTTCTCCGGTGCGACACATATGATTGTTTATAAATTTTCAGAAGATTTCGATTTTACTTACTGAATGAATCAGACAAGCCTGTTATATCAAAGTCTAAACAAATAATTTCTTGGCGCCTATTGTTGTTACATATTATTGTGCAGAATTGTGGAAAAAATTATCTAGGGGACTCACGCCAATTTCCATATTTAAAATATGAACAAATAATATGAATTTGTTTATGTTTTAACATATTAAACAGATATGTATGCATAATTTCAATTTTGCTCAATTTTGTTCAATAAACCGACTATCAGCAGAACCATGTCTAATCTGTTGACGTCATTATCGCTTCAAAAATTCTGGAAGTGGGTTTTGGTGGATCCTCAGGATTGTTCAAAACCGCTCCTGGTTCTGGAAGTGGATCCTCAGGATGGACCAGGGCATTGTCAAACCCAGTCTGATCCATCCTGAAGATCCACCAAAACCCACTTCCAGAACCGGGAGCAGTTTTGAACGATCCTGAGGATCCACCAAAACCCACTTCCAGAACATATTGTTCAAGGTGAATATGAACAATAACAACGCATTCGGGAAATAATACAAAATATTTGAAATCTAGCGTGAATTTTACATGATTTAAATAATACAAATAGATTTTGCTAAATAAAATTTGGCGTGAATCCCCTAGAAAATTATCAATGACCGAAATTTCGAAAATAATAATAACAAAAACAAAAATGGGGAGAGATACGAATTTTCGAGATAGAATCGCAAGCGAATGTTATCAGTCGCAACACCGAATTTTTGTTTGAAAAAACCAAACCGAAATGAGGGAGGAAGAGCGGTCATTTGATTAGACTTCAAAAAGTTAATTAACGTAATCAACATGCATTTTTTGCGAGGGAAAAAACTGTTTTTGTGGTGTCTGAGCTTAAAGTCCTTGAGTATGCTCTTTTTTTTCTATATTGATCGACAACGTTATGAATACAACAGAAGATGTTTACTCAAAATCGAAAAGATGACGTGAAAATGATGACATTGCTAAAGAGATATTTGATTCATTCCACAATTTAAACAATTTTATTACTGGCACTAGTTTTGAGCTTGTACTTCTGATTCTTTTGATATATTATTATTTTGGTATTCTTCTGTGGAAATTCTAGTTTAGGTTAAAATTCGGTCCATATCATTTTGTTTCAAAAATTAATCGGCAGGTTTATTTTCGCAGAAAATTAAAATTATTTCTCATTTCAATAGTTTTTCTTTAATTTTGTCGAGCTCAATATGAATCGCCACGAACCTTGTGATTCGAAAACATCTTCTAACTTTCTTCTATCACCTTTCTAATTATTTTTAATTAAATTAAATCGCATTTTTTATCAATTGTTTGTCATTCACGTAATATGGCAATATCAAATGGTCGATGTGATTACAAGTCGCTTGGTTTCAGCTAGAAATCGAGCATCAACATTGTATGTGCTAGCCAATGCCAATATTTTCCTTTTTTGCCAGTACATTGGTCATCACAACTGAAACTGAGACACGGTCGAATATAGCAAAAACAAAATAGATAGACATTGAGGTCATGGTACGAATCTCTATGAAAAAATATAAACAAACTTCATGCAATCGTAATCTTCTATTTATTTTTTCCTTCGTCAGCGACACGTAAGTGTTTTTCTCATGTTATAAATATATAAATCATTCCAGACTCCTACTATCGCCACCAATTTTGTTTATTTGTTAAATTTCTTTTAATTTATAAAAAAAAACACCGTGCAACGGTATCTCTTGTGTGCAGCTCAAGTTTTACTTGCCATTATCATGAGTTGTTTTTTTTTCTCACGTTTCATGTTGATTACACATTTTTTTTATACCGACAAGACTCGGCTAAGCGCATAATTATTCATATCATTGTCAACAATTGATGCCAATTTACCAGTGTGTATGAATTCAACTTCTGCGGTTTCATGAAAAAGACGATAAAGCCAATTTTTTGGTATATATAGTCCCCCAGCTCATCCTTCTCATCAATTCAAATTCACAGTCCATTTGGAGTGTAGTTTGGTGTGCATCGAATAATTCACTTTTTTATTTCGAAGTAAAATTTGAAAAACAATCTGCCAAAATGAAAACCGACTTCATGTTCAAGGGAATGATGGTGCCAGGTGAGCAAACATATTTTCATTTAAACAAATAGAGTTAAGAATTTTGTGCTTTGGTGAAGTAGAGTAGATTTGAATTGATGGAGAATTCGAAAAAAATTGTTTAATTTTCATATTTCGACTTTCATAATAGAAAAGTTGGAGTGTAATTGAAGTAAAGTTGTGATCAAAAAAACGTCTCTTACGTCTCGTTTCATACTGAATTTTAATGAATTTATTCAAAATTCCTTTTCAGTGTTCACCCCATTCAACGATGACAAGAAGCATTCAATCAACTACGAAGTCATCGACAAATATGCTAACTATTTGAAATCAATGGGAATGCAAGGAATCATGCTCAATGGTATGACTGGCGAAGGCATGACATTGACTGTTGACGAGCGCAAAAAGTTGACCGAAAAATGGTTAGAAGTGACACGTAAGTACGACTTGAGAATGCTCCTTAACATCGGTGGTATAGATCTTGCTGATGTGTACGAATTGGCCGAACATGCGGAAAAATTGAAGGTTGATGCCGTTATGGTGACACCAGACCTCTTCTATAAACCAAAAACTGAAGAGGATTTGATGTACTACTTGAAGGACATCATGGCACGTATGCCAACTCGCCCAATGTTCTACTACCACATTCCGATGTTCACTCAAGTCTACTGTAAGTTTATTTCATCGTTTTTTACTTAATTGCAAGCATTTTTGAAAAAGAAATCCATTTGTCTAATGAAAAATTACACAATTTCCACAGTGGACTGGTACTACTTCTTGACTCAGTATGTTGAGAAGGAAATTCCAACATTCGCCGGATTCTACTATGCCGATGACCGGATTGACAAGGTGATTTACTTGAAACACAAATTGCCTGAATACAATTACATCATTGGAGTGGGCTCGGCAATGATGGGTTTGATGGCCGAAGGATTCGATGCCATTTCAATGACCGCAATGAATCTTTACCCCGAAATGGTAAAAGAGTTGTACGACTACATGTTGGGCTATAAGATGCACGAAGCCTACATCTTGAAAGAAAAGATGATCAAGAAGATCTATGACTTGTTCCAAACGAGCTCAAACGTAGACTGGTTGCGAATCATGAAAATGGAAATGGACAAATTGCATCCACAATTCAAAGTTGGTCCAATGCGCAAACCAAAATTGACCAAAATGATGTGGTGGTCCGGAAAATACTAAAATCATACCCAGAAGCAACAACTGACCGTTCATCGCAATGAAATAAACAATTGTAGTTGATAACTTTTTATGAGAAAATAAAGAGGCCTCTTAGATTGATCGCAAATAAAAGTTTTTTTTTTCATTTTGATTTTCAGTTGAATGATGAGCATTCATTTTACACTACATTTACAGTCTTTGAAACGAATTTTGTTTAAAAACAATAACAGAAATCATAATAATTATTAAAAACACTAATTTCTACCAAAAATATGGGAACAAGTCTTGTTTACTTGTTTTTTTTTAATTAAAAATCAATTAATGCGAAAACATTAAACAAAAGCTGAATAAATTCCAAAAAAAGAATAGTCATCGTAGCAATTCACTTCATACATATCATATAACAAACGGTCTTTTGTATATGGCACCAATCAAAAGAAATTCGGAACGAACTCCGACAGCACCGGAGCGCCATCTGTGCTGTCTTATCTATTTTGCGAAGCAGAACAATTGATTTTTTCCTCTTGTTGATAAATTACATATATCTTTGTGACATTTGGGTGACGAAATGTGCAGAATATCCGAAAATGGATAAAATCCTTCGATATCTATTCATTTTGATAAATTTACAACAAATCTATGATGTTGTGAATGGCGAGCAGGAAAATTTGCAACAAAAATTCACCAGCAAGTGCGATGATTTGTGCATTGACCAAAGTGAAAATGGAACCAAGGTAAAAGACAAGTTTGCCATCTAGTATACACACCTTCAGTGTGGTTGGACAATGTTGACATTTGATTGATTTTTCCTGCACAATTTTTTTCATGTGTAATTCGGTTCTAGGAATTGGGTAAAAAGGAGTGCTTACGAGGCTGCCAGTATTTTAACATCGAATTTTTGCTGAATGCTCGAAATAAAGACAAAGACAAAAATGTTGATCTCAATCAGTTGGTGGAACGATGTGGTACTTGTAAGTTGACACCATCACACTTTTACATACAAACTATTGTTTTTAGTCCAACGCATAAAATTCATTCTTTTTGCAAAACTTGCAGCCTGTAGTGATGCATACATCGGAGACAAACCGAAGAAAGAGCACTGTTTTCGTGGTTGCAATGAAATGATGACATTGCAAGCGAAAGCTCCGCTTATTAACGGTTGGCTAGTGTATATGGGTGCCACGGACCGTAATATGGTACTGCTTCAACCGGATTTTGACATTCCATCGAAAGAAGACTGGGTTCTATTGGATTCGATGTGGCGTGCTAATGAGTATGACTATGACTCACAGTATGGTAGCTACGATAAAATTTCCACACAAATTGAAACGGTGCCGCATTACATAAATGGGCGTGAGCAATTCACCATAAATTATTGTATTCCTGTGTGGATGTGGATGTTACCGCTTTTCTTACTAGTCGCCTTCATCTACATTCACTACAGCAATTATATTTACGGTATGTTCCTCAATGAGAGTCTTCAACAAGAGTTCGGATTGATTTGTCCGAGCCAAACAGTGAACGGTGTGCCAATTAATGTGACCAATGTTAATGAGAAAAAGTGTTTGCGACCGCATCAAGAATATTCCGTCGGCACTGATTTCTTTTTCTATCCCGCTCCGGCTGTTCCACCACCAAAGTACAACGAAATCGCCGAATCCATGCTGATGGACAGCAGCGATGATGAACATGACACGGCCATCTGCAACAGCAGCAGCAGTAGCACCAACACCAACCAAAAACAAAACGAAGCGCAGGTTATCACAGCCAAAAAGGACGCCGGCAACGAGGATAAGAGACATTCCGTTGTCGACATTTAATTTATAAGTTGAGCAGCATTTTTTTCGTGTGCAATTTTTATGAGCATATAAATTGATTCTCTATCGTCTTGATCCGGCAGCTTGAACCATTTAGTGGTGTTGAATTGACCGACTCAGTTTAATCTGCATTTTCTAAAGATTTACTTATCAGTATCGATTATACATACTATATAGTATTGGTCATACAATTTAGACGAGAATCTCTGTCCCCTGAAAAAAGTAAACCATGCAAAATACTCAACACATACGCTAAAGAACCAGACACATCACGGAATCTTCGACTTTGAGTATTTTCGTATTTTTGTTTCTTTTTTGTACAACATATTTTTTTTTTCTTCAAACGAATCTTTGTGATATTGAGCTGAATTCAAAATTTTGATTATTTTTAATGATTTTTTTTTTGTTCATTTTGAAAAAAAAAATTCAGTTAAATTGTTGATTTATGTTTATTTTTTAGTGTGTTTGTATACATGTCGATGTGTTGTTTGACAGTCATCGGTTAAATATATGCTTACGTGCTTTAATTTGTCTTTTGTTATAATTTTAATGACATGATATTATTTTTCTCTGTTCATTTTTAGTCATAAGTTCAGTATAACCATGACCTATCAAGTCTTTCGTAATAACGATTCCATCAGGCAATATGACATATTTTTTAAATGTAATAAAATAAATAACGAAAGAGGACAAGAGTGTTCAATTTGATAATTCAATTGGATTTATCAAAGGTTGTTCTTTGTAGTCGAATCAACCGACATAATTTTTTTAGCATTACACTTTCATCTTGTGTGTGTGTGTTGATGTGTAGTTTAATAACTTGCATTTTTGAAATGAAATAAAAAAAAACAAAAACAAAAATAAACCAAATTTTCATCTTCAGATAAACAAAAAAAAAATGGTTTTTCTTTTCACTGAAAAATAACTTGATATTTTGGAATTAGAAACGAAATTATGTGTATTTAGCAAATTTTTAGCGCATCGGCTGTATTTATTCTTACAAATGTTAGAAACAAGGCAAAACATGAATAAAATGGAATAAAGTCTGAACGCAATATTTAGATCAACATGACATTTATAAATTTCTTTTTTGAACAAAATAACAGTATTATATGACTTCGCCAAACATAAAACCAAGTGCATTGGCCGCCTTGACTCTCACTGCAATCACATCATCGTGTAACAGTACTGATATTTTATGGCTCAAATATTCGGCTGAATGTTGTTGATGGCTTGAGCCGGAGTGCAAGTTATACAAAAGACCGACGATACAAGCGGCATTACCACGAATCTCCGGCCATGCACTTTTCAAATGTGGCAACGTCGATTCGATGAAATCGGATACATGCTCGCCAAGGTCTTCACTCTACAAAAATAACAAGAGAAGAATGATTGAATTTAACTAGAAACCCATTTCACTTTTTTTTGTCACAAAAACCGAATCCACTTACGATTAACTTCAAAAACGACACCATAAAGTTGTCGTATTGCAAGTTACCATGTTCCAATATGTGACTCTGAACCATTTCGTTTACTTTCGGAGCATTGATAATATTTGATATTTTTCGCAGCGTAACTTTGGTCGCCTGAAATGGAAATATTTGGGAAATAAATTGATAGAAACCATGAAATAACCAGGTGAGAATGGTAAGAATGAAATAGTAGAATGTTCTAAGAATTATCGTACCCGCACAATTTGAGCATCGGACTCGCTCAAATGCAGAAACAGTGAGAAGAAATTCTGGAATATCTGCTCTCTGAGCGCCTCTGATACGGGTGTCATCGTTTCAATGGGCGTTTTGCAGCGTGTTCCATGGTCGGCGGTTTTAATGCGACACAAATCGCCAAACAGTAGAATGGCGGCTTCGCGAATTTCGGATGCGGAATTTTCAAGGAACGGCCGAATTCGAATGGCCAGAGACACTTGGAATGATTCCAATTTGTCTCTGTGTAGAGCCATTACGATGCGTGACAATCCCTTCATGCTCTCCAGCGGAATATTGATGAAACAATCGGAATTGTTGTCATCGATACCTTTAAGTAGCGCAGTTAAGCTCATCTCCGAATACTTATCGACATCGTTTTCATTTAGGTTGCCAACATATGCCATGCCACGAACACAAAAGCCACGTACCAATGGGTTAGGATCACCCAGTGCTGAATTCAAATGTTGCATGATAATCGACGACAGTTCGCCAGTTGGCTTCAAAGGAACAATTTGAGAGTAGAGACCAACGGCAGCAATACGTTGGCTATCGTATGGGCTGGAAATCTTATCGGCAATCGCATCAACGACTTGTGTCATCGCGGTGGACGTGATTCCCAGCTGACCAACTAAGGCACCGCCCATTGGTGTTAGCAGTTCCATGAAGTTATTCAATTCAACACTCGCCGCCAAATGCGGATAAACAGTTAGAACCTGTGCCAATTGCTCCATTTCGATGTTTTCCAAATAGAATTTGAACGCATCAAGAACCACTTGACATGGATTCATCTTCACCAACTCTTTATTTGGAATGAATCCAAACTTTGATTTGTTATTTGGGTTGGCCACTTTTGCTGTAGGCGATGCAGATGGTGATTTGGCTGGTGGCGCCAAGTTTGTGTATGTTGCCACTGAAGCTAGGAATAAGGCAAACAACTCTGGAAAACGCTTTTTCAATTCCTGTAAATGAAACATAACAAGGCGTTAACAAAATGGTTTGGAAAAGTAACGGTTTTGATCTGAATTAGACGTGTTCCACATACCGCACGAATCTCTTTGCCCTGCACAATTTCCCTAAGTGCACAGAATATCGCAAATGGCTGATGTGTTGCAACATTTTGATTACTTGGACCGGCTTTTTCAGCAGACACTTCGTATAAACACGATGAATTCAGAATACCCAAAAAGTGATCAATGATGAAACCAGATAGCTCGGCTTGAGACGAAACAGACCGCCAAAACTCAATGATGTTACTGTAGTTTGATTGAATAAATAATCGAAATTGTTTTACGTATTATCCTTCGCTGATTGCTTTTACTTCGATTTTGATTTTCTTCGATTTTAAATAAAAGTACCTTTGAAATGGAAGTTGAGTAGCAAGCATTTCACTACAAACTAATTTGGGATGGTGTTTAGCCAAAGCGACCAATGCTTTCAACACACCAGTTTTAGCACGCGGAGTTGGGCAATCGGCGATCGCCTAGGTATAATAACAAAATATATTAAAAATGAGTAAGAAATAATTGTGTTCGAATTAAAATCTCATTCGTATCGATTAGCAATTGTTACCGTTAGTGAGTCGGTTACTAATTCCGGAATGGCATGAAACAGTTCCGATCCTTTCAAACGGATAAAGTTTTTCAACACAACAGCTGATCCAATTGCCGAACTCTCTTCAGTGTCTTCAAGAGCCTTCAGAAGTGTTTTGCTGTGAATAGAAATATCTTTCAAAAAAAATTGTTCCATCTTGGTAATTATGAATCCAATTGGATTTATAGTTAGATATCCTCACCAAAACTGAACGTATTGAAAGTTTGATAGCCGTTCAGCGATGATTTTCGAAATATCTTCCGTAAGATGATACAGTTGAACTGCATCGTCTGTGACGATATCTTCGCGAATAGATCCCAATTCCTTGTACCAATCATCGTTTTCGGCGATTGTAAGTGTTTCGTAAATGCAGGAAATTTCCAAAATTCGCTTCAATATATCCACAGCCGTTTGACGAACGGTCGGATACGAGTCGATGCATCGTGGCACGATTTTTCCAAGCATAGCTCCACTTTGGTTGAATTTCGAAGGTGCTTCGCATCCAATTTTCACTGATCGTATATAATTCTGAAAAGTTGAAGAATATTTTCATTTGCTCAACATTTTGTTTAACCAATGTTTTTTTTCATCTTCCATCATTCAACTCACAATCAATGCACTGTCCATCACATGACTCGCACAAATGCGAACTTCACTGTTTTTATCACGAATCCAAAATTCCAGCACACAATTCACGTCGTCCAGGGCGGCTGGCGTTGGATTTTGCTGGAAGATCACTTTGACGAGATGATTGAGTTCAGGTAATGATAAATTCAGGTATTTTGCAATGTAACTGTTACGTTCATCTTCTTCGGCGGAATCGAATTTATTTTTTAGTTGTTGAGCAGCGGTGAAAAAAGTGCGACACGATGCTTCGAAAAAGATATGCACTTGGAAGTCATCTTGTGGATTGATTTGTATTAAAATCGCCGATAGCTTCAAAATCGTTGGATACAACGGTAAATTATCATAGTTTGCATCAATTTTAACCAATTGATCCAGAATCACAGTGCGACATTTAAACTCTTCGCACAAATCTTCGTGCTTCAATACCGTTTCACAAAGTATTAATAAAGCGGCTAAAACTTTTTTCTTTATGGTAATATCCTTGGCTTCGGACAACTGCTTAATCAAATAGTTTACAATTTTCTCATGAATCCCCTTCAAATCTTCATGTACGGCAATATTTTCCACAATCTTTTCATACGCTTCCACCGCGAGAATATTCACTTTGTAAATATCAGTGTCTTTGATGTTGTCTTTTTTGAACGAGAAAAAACTTGAACTTTGCTTCTTTTGGCCGTCGGTCTCAATCAAATGCTCGATCTTTTGTATGACGGTATTCATATGAATTTTTGATATAACACCCAATGCCGTGCAAGCATCGCTCAGCTTCGATTCAAATTCAGCATGATTTTGAAGTTTCTCCAGCTTTTCTTGGCGTGCCGTATTGATGATCAGTTCCAATTTTGATTCGATGGTTTGATTGTCGGTGACATAGCACAATGTCACTCCGATTAGCTTCAACAGCATTCCACGTTCTTCATTCAATGATGACACCAAATGTTCCTTTGGATTGATGATCACAGGATACAAAATCATTTGATCGGCCAGTTTGTTGGCAAGAGTTTCGGGAAATGCGGCATCATCATACTCTTTGATTGTATCCGTTACGAATTTAAACACTTTCTCATGAAAATCGGGTTCTTTGATTTGTTTCTTCAATTTCGGTATTTCAGTTGTCCAAAGCGGCACAACGAGCTTGTTTATGATTTTCGAATAGAATTTCAAAAACTCCAAAATATGCTCGGATCGTCTCGATTGATTTTTATTTCCAAGTAAGATCAAACTTCGGGCGAGAACTGTTTCTGCGCTGGGCAGGTAAGTAAGTGTTTTTTCAGCGTTTTCCACTTCAGTGTACGACATATCGGTACTCTTCTCAAACAGCTTGGCCAAGCACATTGCAAACGTTCCGGTGACATCGGTGTAATCGATCAGAAGATAGAATTGTAGCAATTCTCTCTTCAATAAATCCGATACCGTGTAAACGGTTGATGCTAATAAATCCAAAGAGTTTTTGCATGCTTGCATAAAATCGGTATATTCATCAGCCGTGCCATAGTCCAAATTCATTTTGCTCAACTGGCAACAATGTGTAATAATATAACGAATGAACTCATTATCTTGAAGCAACGCCTTCTGTGCCAATACGACGATTGTTTTTAACACGACGAGCTTCACTTTAATTGTCTTCTCATGGACCAACATATGTTTCAATACTTCGGTAATGCTGTCGATTCTCTTGGCCACCAAATCACTTTTTGCATTCGTAACATGCGTAACGACCAACAAAGCTTTGATGCGTTCTCTTTCGTTGTTATTTCGCAGCTGCACTAACAGCATGTCTAACACCTTTTCCGCATAGATTGGCAGCAACAAATCGAAACAACGAAGCACTTCATAGTGGCCTTTTGACGTTTGTGGCCGACCGTAGTCAGGTATAACGCACACCAAGTCGAATAAATTCGATATGAGTGCGTCGGCTTGTGTGTCAAGCGAATTTCGATCAGCATCGATGCTCGCCTTTAATACTGAAGCCAATAGTTGTGTAATTGCATTACGATCCATCGATCGACGGTAGAAGCCCTGCAACTGTGGTATCACTTTTGATACTTGCTCAATCAGCTTTTCTTGCGGCAACAATGGGTAAATGAATGACAGTGCGTGCAAGATTTCACTACACACTTTTGGCTCACGATTCGGAAGCCATTGCTGTAGCAATACATTGTATGCGATTGACAATTCGGCATGATAGTTTTCGTCGACAAAGTTTTCATTGGCCCCTTCTTTTCCTTCGATATTTGAAACATGCTCACTGATTGCTTCGGCAATGTGACCGAGCGCTAAAAGTGGACAAATTTACATGTTGATTATTATTAAATGGAACATAGAGCTTGTAAACCGTGTACTACACAAATATCAATCAGTTTTTTTTCTAGATTTATTTTGCTAGTTAAAAAAATAATCAATTTCGATATTTGCTAATGCATATACTTAGGCTTACCAAAACTATACGCCTGTTTAAGATGGTCCAGACGTATTGAACTTAGCGTTGGTAGGATGGTTTCAAGTGTTGGTCGAATAAATTGGATAATTCCGCATGTGTTTGCTGTTGCTAAGCTGCCAATGCAATGTAAAACCATGAAATGACCTACTTGACCCGGTTGTAGTTGCTTAACTAATCCATCCATCACTTTGCTACAATGAAATCGACCCGCTGCAACAAGAATGTCCAAGCATGGATTTTGAATTTCGGGTGTATGTTCTGTTGATTTGGTCATTTCACTAACGCATAAATCAATCACATTGTCCAAACAACTAGCGCTCAATTGATCACTGTTTTCATTCACGAAACTTTCAATCACCCTGTACAAAGAGACGATAAGGTGATAGTAATTCAAATTGAAAGAAAACACTTGACAAAAGAAACTCTTTCTACACATTATAGCACATAAAGAATACCGTGTAGTACAATGAAATACATTATCTACTTTATAAATTCTCGTGCGAACAAAACAAAAAAAAACCAATGCACAAAAGTAGACAATTACCTCAATAAAATTGCGACTTGTGACTCTGGAAGTTTTGAGCATTTCTGGCGATAGCTGCAAATGATTTCGATGGTTTCGTTGGGTCGCCGCTTGCACATACGAACCAACGATCGTTCCACCGCACTCTTGACACCGTCATCTTTGTCAGCGATCGACTCGAGCAAACTATTCACTGCGCCTGAAATGAATTTGGTGCGAAATTTCATTGAATTATTCGTCGCGAAAACAGAACAAATACGGAGTAACGACAGTAAACAACTGAATATATTTATTCAAGTTGACATCGTGTGCACGGGCACACACTCGTTCGCATTTATCAGTTGAACTTGTTTTTTTGTTGTTGCCATAAACCCATGGAAGGCATTTATCAAAATTACACTAGTTTTTTTTTGCTTTGCTTTTGTAACAAAATTCGAATAAATGTACTTCAATGAGTCATCGAATCTAATGCGACTCGCGTATTGCACAAGATTATGCCATATTTTCAACTCGATAGGCGATGTCAACTGATGACATTCGCACTGCACACATTACATCAATTGTCGCGTATTGGAAAAGATGCAAAACCTCAAACACGAAACAACGCAGAACAGCTGCTATAGTACCATGTTTCATCGGAAGGGCCCGTGTATAAGTGCGACACTGAGATAAAGTCGTTACGTGGAACAAAAGATAAAAGCAAAAAAATGGGCTCTGTTTACGTACTGTATCAAAAGAATCATATTTTTATTCGGTGATAAAATTCACTTTCTAGAACATTTTTTTCTCCATTTTCAGAAGATCATGACTCATTTGACTCAGTCAAAATTGAATCCACACAAACAACAACAAAATATAAAATGGATTTTACTGTCAATTAAGATAACAAAAGCAACAATTACCCAAATAATCAATTGATTTGTTTCCTCCGCTCGATTTTTTCTCCTCGTTTTCACTCATCATACACACACGTTTCAAATACAATATTTTAAAACATTACCAATAGCACCTTGAATCGATATCGTTGGCCGTAATTTTCTATTTTAATTCCGCGGGCAAACAATAATAAATTAAATTTAAATCACAATCAAAAGTCCATACAAATTGTGTAGACACCAAACAAATTACGTTCTTCTCATAGCAAAATAGCGATAGAGTGAATACAGTGAGAGACAGAGAGACACACAAGCACTCACACACAATTGGTTGTATGTGCGTGTTTACATGTTGGTATTTTTGTCATCGCAATATAATTAATCGAATGCGGCAGAGCGAGACGGAACGATGGATTCCCATTGGAAATGTCATCTCGTTCGAATACCAGCTGATATGAAACTCACACACATATATACACACACATACACTTGCCCGACCAACACTTCACATCTCGCATGTGACAACACTAAACGGTGATTCTAGCAAAAAATGAGTCAAAACCATGTAAAATTCCAGTGGTATTTAGTCATATTTTAGATAATTGATGGAATTTCTTTCTGCATGAGATAATTATGTGGGGAAAAAAATGCAACTCATTTTCGAACTTTTTTATTATTTATTTATTTTATTTTTCATTTGTCTTTTTGATAATAATTTTTTTTTCTCATATATAATACATGATGCATTTTGTTTTCAACATAAAATAAAACGGTGTCGTTTCTTTCTCTTCTTCCTATTCATCTTCTTCACTAATTTAAACAAAACATAATGTTTGATAATTGCAAATTAAGTAAAAGTAATTCGTGAGCGTTTGATGTCGTAGGATGCCGAAAAATGAATTCACATGATCGATATAATTGATTCTTGTTTAGTTTATAAATACATATTAATTTCTTTTATTTTTTTTTTCTAAATTGTTTACGCGATAGATAGACGGTGAACCAAATAATAGAGAAACAGAAGAAAAAAAATATATCTAAATTCAGCACTGAGGAAAAATGTGACAAAATGTACAACTCATAAGAATTTTCTTTAGTCAAATGCATCCTCAGGAAAGCCGCTGACTTCGGTTTGCTCAAGTACTGGACTACCATCGACCACATACGAAATGCGAAGTCGCATTCGCAAAACGCCCTGTAAAACATGAAAAAACAAATGGTTTTTCGATTTTAATGAATAGATTCAAATGTTTTCATTCATTGTTGGTAGTATCATTACATGAATGAAAATCGAACAAATGGCAAATTGAGAGACAAGAAGAAATATGAAGAAAACGAAGTAAAATAAAGACTAGAAAAGAAAATTTGTTAAAAAAAAAGATAAACAAATTGAATTCAAATTGAATTCAAATTGAATTGAAGTGCCCACCTTTGATGAATTTGTCAATCGCATTTCTTGGGTGATGGTGCCACCGGGCGGCAACACTGACCCCGATGGCGATAGCATTTGCAATGTAAAGCTCTTTGGAACAGCCGCTTGGAACAAATACTGTTCGAGTGTGTTCAGTGAATTGTTTGTGGCTAACATGATAACACGTAAGCAACCGTCGCCAACACTTTTGTTAGGCACTAACGTAATATTCAATCCATTTTTATCTAAAGCCGTTATTTTTACACCGCCACTGGTTGAATTGGTAGTCGAATTGCCGGTGAGGTCATCGAACAGATTATTACCTAAAATATTGTTGGTCGGTGACAATGGGGATAGAGTGTTTGGTAGCATTGAAATGATATTATTGCCGTTGGTTGTATTCAGATTATCGTTGGCTGCGATCGTTGATGGTGTTGTAATCGATTCGCTGCCCAATCCACCGAGTAAATCAAGCAAATCGGTATTGGACATGGTCATATTTTGTGTATTATTGCTAGGATACTGTTTATCGGATGGATTCAAAGTGGGTGACGTCACCGGACTGATACTGCCACCAAGTAGATCCAATAAGGCGCTCTGAAAGCCCATAAAAGTCAATAAAATGCATCAACAATAGCAAAAACAATTTTCTCTTCGCCATTTTTTCTCGAACAATATGCTGAAGTCAACTCACCGAATCACTTGGTGCCATTTTACTATTCACATCTGATTCATCTTCACCGTTCATAATGAGTTCGGGTTCGTTCTCTTCGCTAAATTCGGTGTTTTGATTTGAAACTCGCGTTATTTGCATGGGTGGCATCTTTTCCAACAGAGCTGGACGCAAGCTATTGTGCGTCTTGAATAATTGTGAAAATTCCACAGAACGTTGCTGCAAATCGATGTCTAAGTGCGATCCAAATGCATCAATTATACACTTGATTTGACTGCAATGCAAAGAATAACGCCGTTAGTTTGGGCCATTTTGGTTGATGCATGGTTAACTTACTCTTGACCACTGTGTAAGCGAGTACTTAGTTTAATTAACGACACCAATATATATTGCTTTGTCGTAATTGATACTTGACTGGACCACAACAGTTTTTGATACAATTCGATGACATCTATATCCGATGGAGCATCTAAAATACAAAACAAAAAATCGATCAATAGAATTGAATTGATGAAATTCGATGCTCGTTGATTGCTCACCTCCGGATCTTTCTCCATACACAAACATATCGCCATATTCACCGATGGCCCACAACGCGACTTGAAGTAATGGTTGTTTGTCTTCGACATTTTGTGCTGACAAAAGGGCATCCCATAGATGGCCGGTAATGTATTCTTGATCGGACGATGAACTGCTGGATATCAACTGAATGGTTGACGAAACCACATCATCTCGAACGTAGTTGCCAACAGCGATCAAAACACTTAACTGTGTATCGAGATGCCAACGTGTCGTTGGAGCAAATCGCTCAGCGGCCAAAATCAAACCACTGCTACACTGTGCCTTAAATTCGGAATCGGATTTATCCAAGAATATCAGCAGCTCTTTTATCATCGAACGAACATTTTGCGCATTGATCAATGCAAATGATAATTCCATGGCACGACGTCTTATCGATACATCGGGATCTTTTAGACATTCCAATATTGTCGTACGATGCCGTTGCACCGCCGATGTGTCTGCATGCACGGTACGCAGCAATGTATTCAACGCAACATAACGGATATTTTTATCACTGTTCAACAAAAATCGACCTAAAATGTTAACCGCCAAAACACGTAAACCACCCTCGGAACTGAAAATGTTGCAATTAAACAAATGGCATTAGCATTGAAATACGAAAATTACATTGAGATCTAAATTTGCCAGCAGACAAGCTGCATATTTTCATTTGTGTGCAAATGTAGTTTTGTGATTCTTACCGAATATCCATGATGGACAGCACAGTTTCGTACAGAATGGTGTTGCCAACATTTTTGCTCGTCTCCGTGTTGGTAGCAACCTGAGCCAAAATATCGTTCATCGCTTCCGATGCATCGGCATCATTGTGCCCCAATATTCTCAGGAGTCGCAGAATTTTCACCTGCAAATCAAGCGGAAACAGGTAATCAGTTACCAAATTGATTGAGGAAATAGATTTGAATGAAATTCCATTTGACAAAAAAAAGGAAAGTGAGACCGTTGGAAGAAAAAAGTTGAACAAAAAAGTGAAATACACGCTACATCGTTTGAAAAAAAATGGTATTCTTACCTGTAAGAATGGATCACTAACACCGCTGACATCATGTTCTGGAGAATAGCCAGCCAAAATCAAATTTTTCAAGATTCGCACCAGATTCGGGACAATCTAAAATGAAAAAGAATGGTTTAAATCGAGTCGATCTGAAAATGGCATGAAAAATCAATCAAAATTCCACTTTGCTACGACATCCGGTTGTATTATCCATATTCTATTTTTTTGCCCTTAAATCAACATATATACTACAAGTTTAACTACGAAATGTTTGAAAAGAAAGCAAAAGTAAAAAGCACTAAAGTGAAGCATACCTCTCGACCTCCACTATCCTGGTTAGCGATAACAATACAAAAGACGGATACAAAATTGGTCGTGAATTTACAATTTGCGAGTTGGTTCGTTAATAAATACGATGTTGGACAATGTGAGTAAGGTGTGAATGAATAGCGTTAGTAGTTGTGAAATACAAAATTTCTATTAATAATATATGGAACACCATCAAGTATGTGGCAAGTGTGTTAGTGTGAGTGTGATGGAAAGCGACTAATTGATGGTTATGTCAATATAATTCTGAATTAGAAATAATTACCTGTTTGAAATGGTTGAGTGTGTCAGGGCTGTTTTCACACATTTCAGTGATGAGAGTTACTCCAGTTATCAAAATGCCTGCAAAGCGAAAGCGGAAAAATAAATTAATTCATTTCTTATTTATGCACTAGGAGGAAATGGAATGAAAAGAAAACGAAACGTACCGTGATTCTTTTCGCTGAGTAAGGATCGAGTGGCAGGCAAGAAAATTTCCATCAAATCAGGCACGCGACGAATCACACGAAAGGCGCACAGCGTGGCTTTTTTCCGAATGTAAGCATTTGGTGACTTCATCAGACGTTCCACTTCACTAGCCAAATCCCGTGCCATTTCTGGTGACGCAATCGCTCCCAATGTACACAAAGCTAAACCAACCACGAACTGCGTTGTACTATTCAAGTCACTGCAATTGGAAAACGGAAAAATAAATCAATAAATCATAAATGGATTGTGAAATGGAGCGACGGTGAATGTTCACATAGAGTGCTTGAGTTCAATTTACGATTCAATTGTCGCGGCAAAGCAATATAAATTGTTCTCATTTTTTTGAGCTCGACAAAAGTACTTACTTTTTCAAACAATTTGTAATTAACAAATGCACATCTTGGCGTTCGTCAAGCAATAGCATTGCACCTAGGTAGCCGATTCGTTTGTCGGTGAATCGTGGACTAGCGGTCAATTTTAGACATTCCAACTGTCCAAAATGTGCTGGATAACCTAACATATGAATGTAAAGTAGTTTGGCAATATTCCGACATCGCCATGCTGAGTCCTCTTCACGAAATGTGCTCCGAATGTAGGCGCATTCTTTGTTTACAACGGCCCGTTCTTCGGCCGCCGTTCGTGCCGCACGAATCTGACGAATTAAATCTCGCAATCGAGTCGGTGTCGGCATTCTCACTGCATAGAACAGAACGAAAAGCCCAATTAGCCATTAAGTGAGAGAGTTCATTGTTTACGAAGTGTTCGATAAACAAATACAAATTGCAATTAATTCAGATTAAACAGTTTTAGAATAAATTGACGCAACGATAACAACAGAAAACAACATAAGCAACTGATGATAGAGAGGTATAAAAACAAGTGTTACCCCGTTCGACGGCTTCGTTAATTGCCTGACGGATGGTGGCCATATTAAATGCTGGATTAAATCTGCAATGATGTTATTCATGGAAATAGAAACCAAACAAAATTTTATTTTTCTATGATGTTGGGGCATGCTGGGACTATAGCGACTCTATTCACTATTCGATCGATTGGATATGATAATGGGAAGTAAAACGCTGCAAGCATTTCGTATATTGCTATGTGTCACAAATTTATGCACTCCAAATTGCAGTTCACACCGTAACTGATCTAATCAGACCGTTTAACGCTGCAGTATCTTGACTGTGTTAAACTGTATGGTGCAAACGAATGCCATAAAAAAGCAATGCAGTATTTTGAGATATCGGTGACACAATTCCGAACAAAAACAAAATTCGATGTATAGTCAAATGTGTTTTTGTTAGTTGCAAATATGGTACAAAATGCTAACACAATAAATGTATCGATAATTACCCGTGCTCTGAGTTCATGCTTATCTGGATAGTTTATTATTATTATTATTATTTTTTATGTTATGTGTAGTTATGAATGTGGTGGTTTTTAATGGCTAATTTGGCTGCAAGACAGAACAAATAGAAAGAAACAAACCCAAATGGAGGGCATAAAATGAGTGGTTTGCGCTGCACAAAGCAATCAAATGAGAAACATAAAACTGTTAATTGGTCTGTTTGGGTAACAATTGGAAAATGGTGGAGACGAAATAGCGAGCTATTATGTGTGAATCACATTACAAAAAAAAAACCGCTCCGAATCCAGAGCAAAAAATACCGTGAAAAAATCGACGGCTTAACGAAAACAAAAATAAAAACGGAGAACGAGAAACAAAATTCATTGAAGAAAAGCCAATGCAATAAAAGTTCCGTATTAAATGCGCTTGAAAAGCGTGTGTGTTGCGTGTTTGGATCAAATGCGTAGGATTCAATTGAATCGTAAGCAAATTGGAGTAACCGATTACAAACACAGTGTTTCAATTAAGTCGTTTTGTACACAGAGACGAGATTTTCTCACTTGAATTAAATAGCATCATTGTTTCTATTTTGACTGAAGGGTCAAGTATTCAATTAATCATTAAAATGATGATAAACACATTGAAAAAAAAAGAAGTTGAAATGCTGCATATTCCGATCGATTTGCATATTGAACACAACACAATATACACATCATCATCGGCCATTGTGAATCAATTTCGTACACATTTCTCACACACTTGTTTGTAAGGTAGATAACCGCACACATACGTTTCGTTCATCGAACGAATCACTTGATTCAAACTATATTTGGTGATCGAACACCGGATGACACAACTTGGTCGATATTGAAAAATGGATGAAAAAAAAACGGATTTTTGTAAAGTCTCTGAATACAAATCCACTTGTGTGGTGGACCAAATAACTTGACGTATGGAATCACAATATGTGAAGAAAAAATCCCACGATTTGACACATTACGAATGCAAACGCAAGCAAAAAAAAAACCATTCAAACTAATTTCCATACACTTTTTCCTTTGTACAATCGAACTAAATTCGAAAAATATTAATGACAAATAGAACAAATTTGTCGATGTACACTTTGCGAGAAGCAATCACACGAAGGTATGTGTGTATGGTATTGAAAAAAAAAAGTGAAATTGAATTGAAAAAAGACACTCGCGTTTTCGTCTTATTTTATAAGAAAAACCATTACACAGTGATATGCTTATTTAAATGATTCGTCCACTTTTTCTTTGCATTTGATAAATCCAAATTGAAACCGTTCCAAATTATTCTCACAATTTTTGTCACGATGAATTTTCGATTTTATTTATTTTTTCTCTTTTGGTTGAGTTTGCAAACAAATTTTTTTTTTTAGAAATAATAAATTTATCAAATGAAAAATGGACGAGTTGACATTTTGACGTTCACTCAAACACTAACTACGCCATACACTGTAAACACTTGTAGTCGATTGCACACAAATCGTGTACAAAACTCTTCTAAGTCAAATAAATGGATTTTCTTATTCTCTTCGCCGTTCGTGTGTGGTCGTGTTTGGTATATGTGTGTGTGTTTGTTTCGGCCGTATTGAAACGTTGGATGTTTTTTGTTTGACGTATCCCTATCGGAAAAATGGCTGTTTGTCGCAATGATGACGGATTTGGAAACGGCACTAGCTATTGCATGGAGTTGTTGTGGTCATATGCTGATATGATTGCACTTTTCATATGGAGTTTTTCGGGTTTTTCATTCACAAATCATCCATTTAAAAATCATTTAATAATGAACATTTTCTTTTGAGTTTTCTATTCAATCAATGATTGATTATAACCTTTGACTCGAGTCAAAGAACCAAAAGATGAAAAATTACCTTGACAATTTTTTTTTTCAAATTCAAATTTCAACACAAATATTTATCGTAACGCCCCAAATGGAAATCATCACAAAGTTTAATTATATGGTGTGAAGCTTGTAAGCTCATCAAACGAATGGTCAAATTTAAGAAACCATTGAAAAACTTTATTTTTAATTTGACACGTTTTATAGTTCTTCGTTGTTAGTTCTACATTGCATAATCAGGTTTGTGTCAAGATTGATGGAAACAAACACCAATATTCAGTGCGATTCAAATGGCAACATGATACAAACACATATTCATGCTGCCAATCCATTAGTTTCCGAAATAGATTAAATCATAAAACAATGCATATTGCACAACTACAATTAATTACGAATAAATCGCACTGTGAATAGTGGTCCAATGTACAGGCCATTGCTGACTGTGTATTAGTTACTGTTCTCATGCCAAACATTTATGCAGATGGGGTTTTTGTGTTTACTATCGCCTTTAATACAAATCGTCAAACCGCTTATCGTATGTTCTTGAGTAACAGCCATTGATTTGAATTCAACGAAAATAAAAGCAAAATGAGACATCAATCTTTGTCTCAAAACTTCGTGCTCAGTCTTCCTTCTTGTCTGTCGCTTTTCAAATCATTGAAAATTTCTATTTTCCTTTTCAATTCATCTTCATGGGGAAACTAACGAAAAATTAGAGGATCGATGATTTTTTTGGCAAAAATACACTGGTCATTCAAACCATAGATGATCACTCCAATTCAAGGTAAAAAAAAAGTGAAATCTGACCAACAAATTCACAACAGTAAGTGCAAGATTGGTATTTTGATTGAAGCATTGCTGGATTACGATGATTCAATGTGTGAGCGCACTAATTTGAATATTATGAACGTGAGTTCATATGTGTACTTGAATGAGTCGTATGCATATGACTTGGAATTAGCCAAACTTTTGAAAACACATTTGATTTTTTCAAAAAACCTGTTAGAAAACCTAGATTGAGCACTTCTTGAACTTAGATATTACACTGTAAACTTGAAGACAACCGTTGAAATTATTCAAGAGCATATAGGTCGATGTGTTCTTATCAAACTTGTGTTTGCTTTTGTTTTGCCCAAAGCACTTGTATACATACCGACGGTTATTTTCGGGAGGCAAAACGCTCCACTCTGGATCATAGTACGGATTCATATTTTAATTTATTTACACAAAACCACTGAGTTCACTATAATAACACGCACTTCGCAGGTATCAGATTTTTATTAAGCACATAAAATATTTTTGTCAAGCTGTTGGCTCAAAAGTTCTACTGGAAATGACTTCTAATTTGTCAATTATGAGGTGTAAGATATGTGAAACGACGGGAACTCAGCGAACAGAAAATTGATAAGAGGTAAAATTCTTTTTACGTGGACTTGATATAGGTCGTTGGTGTTCACTTGTCGCGCGTATTCAATTCACAGGCATATTATTCAAATGAACGCGGCTAATGACAATTACAGACACTGTTTAACATGAGCAATTAAAATTTTCACATGAAAAAAATTCCATAGAATGTTCAACGTCACTTTTTATTTGCTTGGAAATGGTTTTGAAAAATATTTGAGAAATTTCTTTGACTGCGAATATAAATCAATATGACGAAAATTGCATCACGAATGACTAAGCCAGGTGTCAGTGTCTTCGGTATTTTCTACTTCATTCTTGAATTTCACCAAGAGATAAAATTGAACTAACTACGTATTTGCGTTCAGCAATTTGATTTGACTGAACTCCTAGCGACGCATATGAGAGAAAAAAAACTGTTTTAATCGCATCGTAAGTGTGTGAACGAATACCGATTTAACCGATTTATGATGCCACAATTACACACCTAAAGTGATAAGAAAGGCGTTTATCAGATGAATCCAAATGCAAATAGATAACGAATGAATGAACAAACCAATGGAATTTCACCGTCGGCTCAAGACAAATCACACATGACAAATACACATTGAACAATGAATGAATGCAGTCAATTTCAATAAATCTCTTAATTTTTGAACCGGAAAAATTAAAAACAAAAAATATTACGAAAAATGTTTTTTTTATTTCGATTTTTTTAAATCAAACAATTTGAATTTGTCCTCAATTGAACGATTTGAATTGATGCGCTTTCGGTGCAACTTCACGCCTAATACTGAAATGTGTCGCATAGTTATGGGAACTGTCCACATGACAAGCGGCGCTGTCGTCAACAGCGGCCACATTTTGCCTCATACACTCCGACAACTTTTTCTTTTCACTTCAACATCTCGAAGAATACAGTAGTGTACTCGAGAGAAAAATGGTAATTATCTTTAGAAAAAGTTCAATTTTTCTATCTTTTCCTGCTAAATTCCGCATTTTAAGTTAAAATAAATAAAAATATTCAAGAAATTGAGTGAAATAGTTGAATTATCGGAATAAAATCGTAAAAATTGTGAATTTATCAAATTGACACGCGACCGCATGGTTAAAAAAATTTCAGTGACCACATGGCAACTGAGTTTTGTTCAACTTTTTTTCGCTGGAATCTCATTTAAACAATTGAATTTCGAAAACTTTTCACGTGTTAATCCGGTTTGCATTAGTTTTTATCGCGATTTTCGAAGAATAATCAAGAAAATTCTCACTTTTATGAGGTCAGAGTGAACATAACCTCAATGTGACTAACACTTGGTGTTGTTGATTTTTTTCAGTCTCACCGTAAATTCTCGGCTCCTCGCCATGGTTCGATGGCATTCTACCCAAAAAAGCGTGCCGCTAGACATCGTGGTAAGGTAAAGGCTTTCCCAAAGGATGACCCATCCAAACCAGTCCATTTGACTGCTTTCCTCGGTTACAAAGCTGGTATGACGCATATCGTGCGTGAAGCCGACCGTCCGGGTTCAAGTAAGTAATCGAATTCCACATTTTCTCATTGAATTATTTCTTTTCGATTCAGAGATTGTTCATCTCTAAAATCGAAGAGAGAAAAATAGCGTAGTTTTCTATGATGATATCCCTTTTTTATTATGTTTATGGTTAGATAACTGAACCTTTGTGTGGAATATTCTAGGGCGGTCTGATTTTTATTGCCAAAATAGCCGCACATTTCGACGTGTGAATTGAATGCAAACTTAACTAATTGCGAATTTTTTCGTGCATTTTTTCAGAGATCAACAAGAAAGAAGTTGTTGAAGCTGTCACCATCATCGAAACACCACCAGTGGTTGTTGTTGGTGCTGTCGGTTACATCGAAACTCCATTCGGTTGCCGTTCGTTGGTCCAAGTTTGGGCTCAACATTTGTCGGAAGAATGCCGTCGTCGCTTCTACAAGAACTGGTAATTTTTTTATTTTTCACACCAAATTTTTCACCCATTTTCATTATTATCCATTAAAAAAAAAACATAAAAAAGTATAACAATTAACCATACGAATACAAAAGCTCTTCGATCATTATGAGAGAGCGAAACCTATTAGTTGTGTGAGCCCTTGTTGTGACGGCTAACATTGAATTTAAATTCAAATGTGGTTTTGAACACAAGTGGTGATACATGGCGTGAACATTAATTCTCCGCTCAATCGACCTGCGCGTCGCGTTGATGAGAGTTTTTGTTCTTTGTCTCTGTACAGTGACGATTCGTAAGGGAAAACACCAACACGTCGTTTCGTCTTGATTATTCAGGTACAAGAGCAAGAAGAAGGCTTTCACCAAGGCCAGCAAGAAATGGGCCGATCCATTCGGTAAGAAGAGCATTGAAAATGATTTCAAGAAGATGATCAAGTACTGCAAATATGTTCGTGTCATCGTACACTCGCAGGTAAATATCAAAATACTTTCAGCCGTTTCTTTTTTTCTTCCATCTTTTTCATTTGCTTTGACGCGACTACAGAAGTTCAGTTGGCTTTTCGGCGGGCAACTGCTGATTGGCCGATTGTTTCATTTCACGTGGGCGATTTTAGCACAAAATGCTGAATGATTACCACAACGTCGCAGAATAAACCGCCCTTCGGGAGGCAGTATCAGATATATTCCATATTCTTCTTGGAGCTGCTTAAGCGATTACCATTGAGATAAACCATATTTTGTACAATTCTTTCTCTTCAACTCAATTTTCATTTGAAATAAGAATAAATGCGCTTGTGACTGATGACCATTTTCGCATTGTCCCACAGATCCGTTTGATCAAGCAACGCCAAAAGAAGGCACACATCATGGAAATCCAATTGAACGGTGGTTCCGTCGAAGACAAAGTCAACTGGGTGAAAGAGCATTTGGAAAAGCCAATTCCAGTTGGACAAGTGTTTGCCCAAGACGAGATGATCGATACCATTGGTGTAACCAAGGGTAAGGGTTTCAAGGGTGTCACCAGTCGTTGGCACACCAAGAAATTGCCACGCAAAACACACAAAGGTTTGCGTAAGGTCGCTTGTATTGGAGCATGGCATCCAAGTCGTGTCTCGTTCACCGTTGCTCGTGCCGGTCAAAAGGGTTACCATCACCGTACCGTTCTCAACAAGAAGATCTACCGTATCGGTGCCGGTATCCACACCAAGGATGGCAAGGTAAATATCAATTCTTTCATGCAAACTCCGAACAATTTTAATGATGAGAAAATCATTGAGCCAAATATTTACAAATTAATGATACAAACATGAAATCTTAAATGATAGGACTGACAATCTCAATATCGTTACAAATTCTTCTCCATTTTCTTTCAATCCATTCTAATCGATGTGTGGTTTTTTTTGTTCCAATTTTTATGTGTAGCTCGTCAAGAACAACGCTTCCACCGAATACGATTTGACCGACAAATCAATCACCCCAATGGGTGGCTTCCCTCACTATGGTGAAGTGAACAACGATTTCATCATGATCAAGGGCTCCTGCATTGGTTCACGCAAACGTATCATCACATTGCGTAAATCATTGATCACCCACACCAAGCGATCAGCTTTGGAACAGATCCAATTGAAATTCATCGATACCGCATCAAAGATGGGACATGGTCGTTTCCAAACACCAGCCGACAAATTGGCATTCATGGGACCACTCAAGAAGGATCGCATCCGCGAAGAGCAAGCTCAAGCCGCTGCTGTTACAGCCAAAACAGCTTAAATTTAACAGTTTACGATTTTTCATTGTATCTGCTTTATGTCTACATTAAAATTCCGTTGTAATAAATGGAGTTGAAAACAGAGAAAAAATATGAAAAAAACACACATTGTTTCGTTATTGTTGTTGTTTGTTTTGGTGGTTTTTTTGAACTTGAACAGTGCGAGCGAGCCAGCGAGAGAGAGAGAGAGAGAGAGAGAGAGACTTGATTTAGGGAGAACGGAAGCTCGATGAAGTATGAGCTGTTAGAACGCATCAACTCTTTGGTTTTATCTAATCATGCTAATTTCACACAGCTTTGGTGTGACACTTAAACGAATTATTGCCCAATGGAATGCATTCCACGTCATTTACGTTGAAAATATTTTTATGACTGAATGTAAATATATCGCGTGCGCGAGTCTGTTTACGCGAACGCATGCCAAACTGGATATGTAACCATATAAATTTAGTCATTGAAATTCCTTACCGATTTTTAGTCCAGTTTTTTTTCATTCTTTCTTTCTCTCTTCAAGTCAATTCAATTTATTGTGCACAAGACTTATCTTTTCGCTGGAATTTATTATTGGATTGTTCTTATTTTAGGCATTGAATGTTTTGAATCTTCACTCTTTTCAGTACATTCCGTCGATTCAATGTGAAACAATTGAATTTAACAGGAAAAAAAAGGTGAGAATGGAAACGGTCGCTATCGCTAATTACATCTCTCGTCAGCGACGAATTGCTTACTTCATGTAAACGGAAATCAATTATATTTCAACACGATCAAAAACAATTAGCTTCCGCCTCTTTAACTCAATTGTTGACAAAAAAAGTTGTTTTTTTTTTTCTCGAACATCTTCATACACCTATGATTACTAATATGTTATAGAGTAGAGCGTGGTTTTTAAAATTCCCGTTGCATAAAATCCGTAATCAGCAGACGTTGTGATTCATTAGGTGTCGATGGCCATAGTGAAATTTAAATGTCGTCAAAAAAGCATTAAAAGATATTAGTGACGGTGTCGGTCATTTGGTCACAATATTATCAATATGTATGCATTACTCATGCGCTCTGTGTGTATGTGCGTATATTTTAAACACGTTTATTTATTTTTTTTTGGGTAAATTTCCAAATGCCTTCGTAGTGCACAACGCAGCCGTGTGCATAGTCTGGTGTGAGAGCAATGGTTCAGTTTTTTTTTGCTTTCTGGGGTGTTGTATAAGATGTGTGAAGTGAAGCATTATTGATTAGTCAATGGAACGTGCGTAAGCCGACAAAGATGTTTGGTCATTTTTGGGGAAAACGCGCACATTGAACGTATGCGACACACGGCTCATACGTATGATTCAATGTATCTGTCCATAAATACGGAGCCAAACGGTCGTACATCGAGCAACAATTTTACATTGACTTTGATCTTCTTTTTGCACACTGAATTCAACACACCAAAACATACGTAGCATACTCGGAAGATCGGTTTGAAAACGATTTTTAGTTGGCCACCAACACATGCGCACATGCCTAAAAATGTCTGTATGCATGACACACGGGCATATGTGCAAAGGTTTGTTTCTTTTGTCTAAGTATATATATGAAGCGCGTTTCGTTTTTATGTCTCTGTTGGCTTGTCGTGTGGATGTATGTGCATGCGTGTGTGAGTGTGTGCGATTGCGTGTATCGATATAATATGAGCATAAACGTGCAGCGCACTCAAATCTGATTCATTTCAACAGTTGGTATCATTGGGCCCGATCGAATCGAGTGTGTGTATTCGGTTAACAACAGATATTCACGCGTATTCATTCGCTCTGAAGTCGGTGTCACATTTAAGTATAGTGACTTCACGCACACACACAAACAAACCATATATGCCTCACACAAGACAAAACAACAAGCAACCGAAAGAAATGGGAAAAAAAAGTTCAAATGAAAATACACGAAATAAGAAAGAAAACCAATAAACTAACAAACTGCACTTATACCATTGCACATTCGAGCGAGTCGTCGTCAACATACATAGCCAAAGAGAATGACCGTTGTTAACTTCCATACATTATAGATAAAACGAAATACAATAAAAAAAAACGAAGTTGAACGAAGAAGAAGAAGAAGAAGAAGAGGCAGAGAAAAAGCACTACGAAATCGAAAAGAAGAAGCAGCGGGTGTTCTTCGTACGCGTACAACATTACCAGTCGTTGTCACACACTCAAAACATCCACATACGTGAATATATCGTATGTACGACATCTACTACACAAAAATACAAGAAGAAGAGACGAAGAAAAAAGTATAATTCTACTTTTCTTTCATTTCAATCTCTGGATTTTAGTCGGGCGACCAACAAAATAAAACGTACATTTTCATTTACCTACTCTCATTGTGCTAATAGTAATTTCAAAAGTTGAACATTTTTTAACATCAATTTCGGTTTGATCCTGTTCGTTTGTGTTTATTTTGTTGTACAATGTGAAATTTGGAATGAACGAAGAAGCTGAAGAAGGAAAAAAAAAGTTTTTTGAACAGCAGCTACAGCCGAACAATGAGAGACAGGGAGAGAGGGAGACAGAGAGCGAATGAGTGAGCAGTGTGTGTTTGTCGATCGGTGTGCAAAATAGAATTTCAAGTTTCTGTGTAAAGACCAAGAGCCGGAAAGAATGAACGAACGACAGTGAAGAAAAAAAACACGAAAGAAAAAAAAAACAGATTCGACAGCTTGGCTCGAAGATAATGTGTAAGACAATTCGCATTGAAAATGATGCACAAATGAAAGTACATAGCAAAGGGAAGGAGAATTGCAAAGGATTTTCCATCTATTGCCCATTGTTTTAATGAGAGACACACACACACACACTTTTTCGTGAGGTGATACTATTTCGGGCATAGTGCAGTTTGTGCACACGTTTATTGTTTTTTTTTGTATTCTACTTCGCCAGTTCAGCCTCTGTGCAAACAATTTACGGAAATATTATGTGTGCAATTCGGCATATGAGTGTGTATCTTTAAAATAGAAAGAAAAAAAAAAACGAAATTCAGCCTGAAGGGGTAGCTATAAAAATACATGTGTACATCGTCAACACAACAAATATTGACTGAAAAATATTACGCTATTATTTGGCCACTTAATGTTTACTCCAACGAAACAAGACAGAAATTTGTCGGTGTTATGTCTTGTGTTCGAATGTGCTCATAGCTTTCTTTAAGTCTCGCGCGTCCGCGTTCGCTCTCTTTTTGTTTCCATTTCAGTTGTTTCATGAAAGTCGAAAATTGCTGAACCAATATTTTAGTTAAATTTACCGAACCAAAGTGCCTTTAACAACCGAGTTGAGTGCAAAAATTGATGTTTGTATTATTTTCTGGTCTCTGTTTTTGATACAAGAGTCTGGCCAAAAAAAAAATAATTAAGAGGAAAAAAAACAAAGTGGGAAGGAAAGAAAACGTTATTCACGGTGTGATCACGGCACTGTTGTTTGTAATTTGTTTGTAGTTAGTGACGATTCAAGTGATCTTGTTGACATCGAAAGCAATTGACAGTCGAAACGAAGAACAAACCGTTTGTATGTCATCATTATCATAATCTAAGGCCCCAACGACAACAACATTTGCAACAACAACGAACGCCATCAATTGACACATAATAGCCTAAAAATAAAGAACGAACAAGCGATACGATCATTGGTGCCGACATCATTTATTGGAAATTATTCGATTTGCGTGCATTGCAAAATAGACAAACAAACCAAAAACAATTGCAAACTCTCTATCGCATCAAAGTAGAATAAGGAACAGAAATATTCATCCTATTTTACTCGCGGTCGCATAATGCAATAGCGCACAATTGATTTCAATTGTAATAGTGTGGTGGCGAGAGAGTGGAGAGAGAGACAGAAAAGCAACAACAACAACAACAACGATAATAAATCTCAACTATTGCGAAATATATATACATATCGAATGTGTGAATTGGTTTTCGAAGCGCAAGTTTCTTTGTTCACACTTTGGAATCGGGATATCGCTAGCTGCTGTGAATGTATCTCTCGTGTTCAACTCACAATACCGACATTAAGCATACGCTGAGTGTGTGTATATGCACAGAGGAAACTATGACAACTGTCACTGCCTTGTATAGCGCACAGTCATAGCAAACGTGCGGTGTGTGTACATGTATTTTCTACAATTTCGATTTGATTCGAAACAATAACACACAGTGCACCAGTAACCAGTGTGATTGGCTCGGTGTGTGTCCGGAGAGCAAAGAACGAGATACCAAAGTGCCTATTTTATTTGGAATATATTGTGTGTGTTTCGGATTGAGCATCTCTCTCTCTCTCTCGATCTGTGTGTGTTGTCTCGCGTGAATGTGATTTGCATTGTTTATCAATTAAAAAGTGGAGAACAGAAGGAGAAAAAAAATGTAAATGCCATTGATGGACGGGCGACAAAACAACAAAAAAGGATGAACATTTGTGAACATTGATAACATACTTCGATAGAGTGAATTTATAAACAATAAACAGTGTGTTGCAAACACGCAAACCCACAACGACAGAGAAAAAAAAAGAAGAACAAGGGAAAAAAAAGCAACAAACAGTGACACTGATTAAAAGCTCGACACAAAAATAAAATAAATTTCAAATCAAAGTAGTAAAACAACACACGATAGAACGCAAATCAAATCAACAACCGAGCGTAGCCGCAATACCGCGCGACACAATGCATGTAATTCATGGCATTGCATTTATGACATTTTGATTCGCACAGCAGCAGCAACAACAACAACAACACCACCGACACCGACTGCATTCGACAATTCGTGTGTAACATTTTCATTAAGTGTCTGCCAGTTTTTTGGGTGGCGATGAATTGTGTGAAATCGGCACTCGCGCACTATTAAAATGAAGAAAATCAAAGTGATTTTGAAGCTGTAGCATTTCCAAGTGTTTCTAGTTTTTTTTTTTTTTTTATTTAAAGAAAACAAAAGTTTATGTGACAGACAAGCGACGGGAAAAAACCAAATTTGGGATGTGTGTTCTTTTTTCGTAACATTTTCTCTTCTGTTTTTGCCGACAAAGCAATAGTCTGTAACACAAATTACGCAAATTAGTGAAGTAAAAGTGCACCGAATGGAATATTACCGTTCAACACATTTCAACTAGAACATAAATCAATTTATACATAATCTTTTTACTACCATGGATCAATTAGACGAAGATCGTCGCAATAGGTAAGGCATTTACTAGCTTGTTTTTGGTTTCATTTAGAAAAAAAAACCATATTTTGCGAATGAAGGTAGAGACAGATTTTGGATTATTGACGTTTCTCATTACGTTTGTTTTTTTTTTTTAAAGGTTAAGTGAACTAGAAAACAGGTTGCGAGACCCATCAAGCGTGGCAAATATTGATTCATTGCTTGATACAGTCACCGCTCTCATACATGATTTCGATCATGACACCGTCAAACGTATCAAAAACATCGAAACCTACACGAACCGATGTAAGTAGCACAAAATGGCCCAAAACCTACTGTGTTTTTTTGGTATTTTTTTTTTCTTTCATTCTATTTCTCATTCATTTCCAATCGATTGTCTAATCAATATTCCGCACATTTTCGCAGATGATGGGTTCGCGCGTGAGGTTCAGACACTTCGTATGAATCCCGATGACTTTAAAATGATAAAAGTGATTGGGCGGGGAGCGTTTGGCGAAGTACAGTTAGTGCGTCACAAGACGACCAAAAGCCTATACGCCATGAAACGTTTATCAAAATTCGAAATGATTAAACGGCCCGATTCAGCATTTTTCTGGGAAGAGCGATACATAATGGCGCATGCCAATTCCGATTGGATCGTTCAGCTACATTACGCATTTCAAGATAGCAGATATTTGTACATGGTGATGGAGTATATGCCAGGTGGTGATATTGTTAGTTTGATGTCAATGTATGACATACCAGAGAAATGGGCTGTTTTTTATACGATGGAAGTCGTTCTTGCCTTGGATACCATTCACAATATGGGTTTCATTCATCGTGACGTAAAACCGGATAATATGCTGTTGGATCGTTCGGGTCATTTGAAATTGGCCGATTTTGGTACGTGCATGCGAATGGGACCGGACGGTTTGGTGCGATCAAGCAATGCCGTCGGCACACCCGATTACATCAGTCCAGAAGTGTTGCAATCACAAGGCAACGAAGGCACGTATGGTCGAGAGTGTGATTGGTGGTCGGTCGGAATTTTCCTCTATGAAATGATGATTGGTGATACGCCATTCTATGCAGACAGTTTAGTGGGAACGTACGGCAAAATTATGGACCATAAGAAATCATTGAATTTTCCGGCCGACATCGAAATTAGTGAGAATGCAAAATCGTTGATTCGAGCATTTCTCACCGATAGCGAAAATCGATTGGGACGTAATAACATCGACGAGATCAAACGGCATCCATTTTTCCAAAATTCCGACTGGACATTTGACAATATCCGTGAATTGGTGCCGCCCGTTGTACCGGAACTGAACAGTGATGATGACACACGTAATTTCGATGAAATTGAACGCGACGAAACACCCGAAGAACTGTTTCCAGTGCCAAAAACATTTGCCGGCAATCACTTACCCTTCATTGGTTTCACATACACGGGCGATTATCAGCTACTTTCGAATGATGTCATTGATTCAAATCCCATAGTGAAAACGGTGCAGCATAATCATCATCATCGGCCGTCGAATAGTCATGAGATTTTTCGTTTGGAAAAATTACTCGAACGAGAACGCAGCCACATTGAATCGCTCGAGAAGCAGGAGAAGAGTCTTCGATCTCAATTGGACAAAGCCACCCAGCACGAACGCGAAATCACCGCTCAAATCACAAACTATGACAAAGAGTTGACAATGCTAAAGCATAACTATCGGGATGCTCAACGCAAAATCGAAAATGAAATTGAGCAACGCAAGAAAACGGAGAATATGCTCAACGAAACCAAAAAACGGTTGGACGAAGAACAAAACAAGCGCACAAAAGAAATGAGCAATAATCAACAGCAAAACGACAAAATTAATATGCTTGAAAAGCAATTGACCGATTTGCGTGAGAAAGTGAAGAATGAAACCGATAGCAATCAGAAGCTCAAGAAACATTTAACCGAACTCCGCATGATTCAGAATGATTCGGAGGAAAAGTCAGCAGGATTACAGTCGATTATAGCTGGTCTACAGGCACAACGAGACGTACTGCACCAAGATGTGGCCAATTTGCAGACACGTTTGGCACAGGAACGCAGCGCTCGTGCGCAATCCATCGAAATTGAAAAGGAGTTGGAAATTAAAATTCTATCGCTCACCGCCGAACTCGAACGATACGCCCAACGAGAGCAACAATCAATCCAAGACAATCAAACGCTCAACGAACGCATTTCCGATTTGGAAAAAGAAAATGCCTCCATGAATCTGGAACTGAAGAACACACAGAATCGATACAACCAGGAAGTGACAGCACACCGCGAAACGGAAAAATCGCGCCTAATGAGCAAAGAAGAGGCTAATATGCAGGAAGTCAAAGGTGAGATAAGGAAGTGATTGGGAGATTGATTCTAAACTTGTTCCTTTTTCAATTTGAAAAATGCTTTGTCCCTTTCTTTCACTAATTTTCTTTTGCCTGTTTCAGCATTGCAAACAAAACTGAACGAAGAGAAGATGGCCCGCCAGAAAGCTGATCAAATGTCACAAGAGAAAGAGCGGCAAATTTCGATGTTGTCTGTGGATTATCGTCAAATCCAGCAGCGATTGCAGAAGCTTGAGGGAGAATTAAGACAGGTAGATTTGATAGAAAAAAAGCACAATCTCAGTCGATCAAATTTCATCGAAAATTATGCCATTATTTCAGGAAACCGAAAAGGTCTCAACCTTGCACACAAACCTTGATCAAGAGCAAACGAAAAAGAGTACATTGTTGTCGGAGTTGAGTTTACAAAGCTCAGAGGTGGCACATTTGAAGTCAAAAGAGATGCAATTAGTCAAGGAGATAACTCAGTTGCGTGAAACGAAGCGTCGTTTTGAGGATGAAATATCCAAGATTAAGAATGCTCACAACGCGGACATTTTGCAAATGAAAGAGCTACAAGATCAACTTGAGGCTGAACAGTATTTCTCGCGCTTGTACAAAACGCAAAGCACGGAATTGCGCGAGGAAAACGATGAGAAAGGCCGATCGATTCAAGAGTTAGAAGAAGAACGTGGTTCATTAGTACATCAATTGCAAATTGCATTGGCCCGCGCCGATTCCGAAGCACTTGCCCGCTCAATCGCCGAGGAAACAGTGGCCGATTTAGAGAAAGAGAGGACAATCAAAGAGCTCGAAATCAAGGATCTCATTTCGAAGCATCGCAATGAATTGTCGACCAAGGAATCTGCATTGATAATGTTGCGCGAAGCGGAGGCTGATATCACTAAGAAGCTCAACATGAAAATCTCAGAATACGATGAAATGTTGCAACTCAATAACAAACTGAGGGAAGAAGTCACACGGAACAAAAACAATCAAATCGAAATGGAGAAACTCCAGGCCAAATTGAAGAATGAAATTCTTTTGAAACAAACGGCCGTCAATAAGCTGGCCGAAATTATGAATCGCAAAGATGGCGTCATCAATGCTGGTAAAAACAAGACTAAAGTCAGCTCGGCTGATCTGCGCAAGAAAGAGAAGGAAAGTCGACGACTCCAACAAGAACTGACACAGGAACGCGAAAAATATAACGAATTGCTGTTGAAATATCAAGACATTCAAACGCAATTGAACGATGAAGTTCACGTAAGTTTCTTTTTTCTGTTGATTTTTTATTTCGCTTTTATTTACGTGGACTTTACATGGAGACTAATGATGATTTTGATTGTTTGCAGAATAAAACGAAACTTCAAATGGAAATTGATTGCAAAGCAACCGAAATCGAGCATTTGCAAATGAAATTGAACGAAACAGCATCGTTATCATCGGCCGATAATGACAATGAAGACAATCAAGAATCGGTGTTCGAAGGTTGGCTTAGCGTTCCTAACAAGCAAAATATCCGTCGACACGGATGGAAACGACAATACGTTGTTGTGTCATCGCGTAAAATCATCTTTTACAATTCAGACGTAGACAAGCAAAATACTTGTGATCCATTGCTTATATTGGATTTAAGGTGAGTCTATTGGCGAGTTTGCTTGAGGTTTTTATTTAGCTTTGAAAATTTGCAAGTTTTGATTCAAAATGGACGATTCCCTTTAGTTTCTTACCTCAAATTACTGAGAATATTGACTACAATTCACATTCCATAAACTTTTTCACTTCATTCCATAAAATTTGAGATTTTCTTAAACGACACAAATTTATCGCTTGAATTTGTGTCATTTTTCAACATTTCTTACGTTTCTTGAGCTAGTAGGCTTTGAAAATCCCATTTTAAGTAGAAAAATCTCATGTAATTTCATGTTTATGATCCAAATGATCCAAACTAATTCCGTGAAAAATGTTTATTTCGCAATGCAGCAAAGTGTTCCATGTTCGACCCGTAACACAAGGTGATGTTATTAGAGCTGATGCCAAAGAAATTCCTAGAATTTTCCAATTGCTTTACGCTGGAGAAGGCGAAGCCCGACGGCCAGACGATCCAAACATAGAGACGAACACACTGAAAAATGTTGTCGATGAACGAATCGGACTAACAACATTCAAAGGTATGTGTTAGTGATTCTGAACAGCCAATTTATCGATTGTTTGTAATGGGAATAGAAAAAAAACTCGTACAATCAGTTGTTTCCACACGTTTAACAGAAGATTTTTCTCTTCGATACAAAAATAAATTTCAAACCACTTTTTCTCACAAATTTCAATGTTTTGTTGCAGGCCATGAATTTGTTCCAATCACTTACCATATGCCGACTGCATGCGAAGTGTGTCCCCGACCATTGTGGCATGTTTTCAAGCCACCAGCGGCCTATGAATGCAAGAGGTGAGTCCATATTTTTGTTGATAACCCATTTTTATTACTTTCGATAAACATTTCGATTATTATGAGTGATACTCATGAAAAAACATTTTTATCTACAAATATGATTCATTTTCGATGATTAATAAAAAAAATTCCCCACCCATCAATACACACAAAAAAAAAAATGGTTTATGATTGCAGATGTCGTAATAAAATCCACAAAGAGCATGTTGACAATAATGATTTAATGGCACCGTGCAAATTGCATCACGATCCACATTCAGCACGTGAAATGTTGTTGCTGGCCACATCAAATGAAGACCAAAAATCATGGGTCAATCGCCTGTCGAAGCGCATTCAAAAATCCGGCTACAAAGCAAATTCCTTGAATAACAACAACACAGACGGCAATAAAATTTCATCGAGGTAAATATGCGCATACATGAGACACACGAATAGAACAGTCGTATGGCACGATTTAGTTATATTAAAAAAAAATGTAGTTATAAATCAATCAACAAAAAAAAACAAAACACACAAATTGTTTTCTCTCACTTGGTAAGAGGCGTCCTTGGCATGCAACTAACAGCGTTACAAGAAAACATGAACTTTTTACGTACAAACACGAACCTCAGAACGTTGATTTTTCTCCATTTTATTTTTCGTTTCGTTTCGTGAATTTACTTAAGACACAGAGCAAATGAACGTTTTGTACTTATGTTTGGCACATAAACGAAATTTCTTCTATTCACATTTTAATATTTATATCATTCTCTACCGTTAAAGGGTTGTCTCAACGATGTTAAAGTGATCAGCTACACAGTTTCGATTATTATTTATCACAGTTTAGAATATTGTTCCATTGCAGTCATAAAAATGGCTTTGAACAATGAGTAGTTTAGTTTGGGACGCGATCATCGTTGAAGATCTGTTTGATACAGCCAAAAAATGTGCACTTTGATCGCCAGGATGCCAAAATTTAGAACCTTTCAATTTAGCTGGTCTCAATTGACATTCGAACGTCGTCAAAAACATGGATTTTTTTTAAAATAAACTTAACTTGATAACTTAAATCAAAAAGCTTAGTACTTAGCAGAACTTTGATAGCATGAGTCAACATTTTTAGCATGAAATTTTATCTAACCGACAGCTTGTCGACGACAGAAAGACTTCATTCGTTTCTTTCAAACCCAAGCCGAAATTGAAATTACTTCGAATTCGGCAATTGATTTGCAGAACTTTTAGCAACAAATTTAAATTGAGTTCAAAACATTCTTCAGTCGAAAATTCATGTTTCCCCCTTTTTAGTATCAATTCGATCATTCTCTTAATATGCAGCTAACAAAACGATCGAATGATCAAACGACCCAGAGATTAGAGTGTAATAGAAGCAAATAACAAGTAGTAGTTAACAAAAAGAATACAGGAAAGAGATAAAATGTAGAAGAGTTACGAATTTTCCGTACTTGTCATGTATATAAATAAATATGTAACGGAATAAATAAGTGGATATTTAAAGAAAACCGTTTATGTTTGTAAGCGCACTATTGACTATTGGCTCGTTGTAAGGATCCAGGGATTGGTACCGCTTTGAACGATGCTGCCATTTTTTTTAAAGTTTTTCTCTATATAATTTTACTCGGCGGTACAAAGAAAACGAAACACAGCACATTGATTTTTATTAAATGTTAGACGATTACATGAAATATGCATCCTCAGAAATGTCGTTCCTAATCACACAACACAACACAACACATAAACACACACACACATAGATCGCACAATTCGATTGTGTTCTCAAGTATTTTTTGTTCGCTTGAGCCTCAACAAGGTGCTACCATCGTAGATTTCGTGCATTTTGTTTTATTGCAAATTCCGGAAGAGCGAATTGCGCTGGTTGGAATTGAACGATGATTGAAAATGTTTTGTTGAAAACTCGAAAATCAAAATACATTTCTGTCAATTAATTTTTTTTATCTATCGGATTATTTGTTTTTCGTATGTGTGTGTGTGTGTATGTGTGGATAAAAATACACTTGAGTTGCACATGAGAAGAACAAAAAACAAACAAACAAATCAACCGAGGTATATCATTAGTTGCCATAAGTTAATCGTTAGCGAATTCTATTTCGATTTATTTTACTGTTTTAATTGTTTAATCAAAATGACATAATCAACAACAACAACAAAAAACAACACGAAGGAAAAAAAACTAAGAAAAGAAAACGAATCAGATACTTCAAACTGCAAAAGAATGCAACAATCTGAAGACTTTCTAATGTGGCCTTTCTCTTAATTTTTATACATGAAAACAACAACAAAATACAATTTAAAAAAAACAATTTCATATCGATGTAAACGGCATGGTTTTACGAAGACGCAAAATTTAAGACAAACAAAAAATTGACGAAATTTCATGTGAAGAATCGACAAAATTATTATCATGTAAATAAAAAAAAAAGAATTTATTTGATTAGCACTTTTTTTGGTATTTAATGGAATGAAACAAACAAACAAACAAAAAAATTAAGCAAAGATTTTTCAGTCGTAATTGCACGCATGATTTAATCGATTTGGTTTCAAATTTTATTGACAATATACTGACAAATCAAAAGAGAGTGGAGAAAAAAAATGATCAACCAAATTTTTTATGTAAATTTTTATTAGAAGATAAGAGATATACCGGAAAAAAGACATTCCTACCTATCACTTTCTTCTATCGAAACTAGTTTTTGTTTGAATGATCGAAAGTCGATGTGAAGTATTTTATAATTTTAATTTTTTTCTCTCGATATTTTATGACAAAACCATGTACTTTATGCTTTTATGGAAACTAAATATACCACTATCTTATATGTAATTGAAACAAATTGAACCGTGTTTTTCTTCAATTATTAACTTTTATTGAATTTCAGAGGTCTTTTCTTTCCGAATGTTGACTAATAAAAGTGACCAACGACGTAATAAATGAAATAAAATACTGAATTTTTCTTCATACAATTTCTTAGGCTATTCAACTGGGTCGTGACTTAACCTGGCTTTTTCTTAAGCCAATAAACTTAATTCCTAATTTAATTTTCTTCTACATTTCATGCATTAAAAATTAGCAGTAAAAAAATAAAAACAAATCAAAATTCGTTGAGTTTCCAATCAGTTATGAATTTATTTCCAATTCATTTGTTCGGTCATTTGCATGTGGTTCTATTTTTCAAGACATTTTTAATAAAAAATTTCTTATTTTCATCGATAAACTTGTGTGAGTTTTTTTTTTCGTTTCAAACTACTTAGAATAATGTATAATGTTTCCAAAGCAAAACTTCAACCTTGACCCAGAATGACATACGATACATATCTACAATTGCATTTTGCGACCTTCGATTGAGATTTCGACGGCTCGCCGTGATCCTTTCAGCCGTTTTGCATCGATAAACTTCTTCAAATGCTTTTCGTAGCGATTTGGTTTCTTCTTTTCAATCTGTGAACGAAGAGAAAAACAAGTTTTTAAATGAAATATTTCAAAATTTGGAATTTGAAAAGAGGAAAAACCGAAAATTCGAATTGTTCAAATTAAAGTCAAAGATCTTAAAAACTCATAACGATATTCGAGTATACTCACTCGGCTCAAATCGACGTCAACTGTTGATCTTGGTCTGACCACGTAATCTTTGCTTGATGGCTGTGGAACACGTGCTCGGCTCACCCAACCCTTTTCACCCGGTCGCAGTTGTTTTTCATCGCTCGTGAATGATGTCAGTTCTTTTTTCTTTGCGCTAGTGCCGGCTTCGGGGCTTGCGCGTCGTTTTCTTGGCATTTGTTCCAAATCACGTTGCAATCGTTCTTCACGTGTCAATGAACTCATGTCAGCACTTAAATTAAAGATTGGTCGTGCCCATTCCGATATCAAACGACCGGCACGTTCACGATTCTTTTTCGTTTCACTTGGATGTTTGTACAGATACATCACAGCTTTTCCGATGCCCGATTGCTTCAAATAGGATTTATCGATTGGCGGAAACTGAAAGACAAAATGGTTATGAGTTATTTTCGAGAGAAAAAAATGGCATCAAAACATTTAAACCCTTACATCTGACAGCAGTTTTAAGATGCTTTCACGAATTTGAAGGCATGGCAAACTTCGATTTGGCAATGGTGCCAACCAATCGGTGAGTACATTTAGAATATTGTGCTCGATAAATGCCAGCTGCAAGTCTTTCTTGATCAATTGCGACATTACCATTTTTAGCATGGAAATCTTTCGAGTGGCCGGTTTTTGTTGAACATTCAATTCACGATCATCCTATTTAATGAATTTTCAAGATAAAATCATTTTATTATTGCATGAAAGGTGATTTTATGAAGCGAAACATTCTGGAGTCAAACGACATACCTCAGCGGCAGCACGCATATCTTGAATGAGCTGATCGATAATGTCATCGTTATCTTTTTTAGGTGAAAATAGAAAAAGAATAAGAATGAATAATATAAGAATTTATCTTTTTTCACTGTCATCGTTACCGTTAATAATATCAATATCTCGTCTCTTGCGTCTTTTCGTTCCTTCTTCACGTTTTTTGGCCAGCATCGCCTCAAAGTCATTAACATGTTCATTATCACCTCTGTGTTTGGGAACAAAACATTTTAGTGAATGAAACTAAATTTATTGAACATTTAAACGCACCCCGGGCCGTCATCATTTCTAACGCCTTCATCTGAACTTTCTCCGCCGTCATCAGGTTTTTGAACTCCTTCGTTTTCATCGCCTTCGCCAACTGGCACCTCATCTTCATTATCGGAGTCAATGATCTTGGCTCGTTTCAGTTGCTGTGATGCGGCACCTTTGATTTTTGAGAAGATTTTGCATTACTTTGTGTTTATTGATCAAATAAATTCAGATTTTTACCTTCATCCTCTGAATCACTTAGAATAGCACGTTTCTTGCGATTCACTGGCGAACCACTTCTATGCGAAGCAGCACTGCCACTGCGTGAACGCGAACCAGACCGAGATCGAGAACCTTTGAAAAAAATAGGTAAATTGATTTGGTCTAAGAAATTCAATTCTTTTTCCTTTTTTATAAGAGTTAAAAACCATCAACTTACGTGATCGACTTTTACTTTTAGCTGAACCACTTCGACTGCGATTTGATACAGCGCTGCCACTGCGTGAACGAGAACGGGACCTAGAACGGGAGCCGCCTACAATTCGACTGATTAGTACACTTTCTCTAATTACTTCCTAATAGATATTTAATTGGATGGGCAACTTGTAAATTACCGGAACTTCTGCTTCGACTTCTACTTTTTGCCGATCCGCTGCGACTGCGTGCGGAGCCACTTCGGCTTCTTCGGGAGCCACTTCGGCTTCGCCGGGAGCTGCTTCTGCTACGGCGCGATCCACTACGACTACGGTTCGATGCATGGCTTCCGCTGCGTGAACGCGATCTTGATTCTAAACGTTACATGATTAAAAAAAAATTGTCTTTCAAACATTTCCGTACAAAGCCATATGTAATGTAAATTTTCAAACCTATAACGAAAAAATCACTCACTTGAACGACTTCCACTTTTAACAGAGCCACTTCGACTACGGCTTCGACTTTTACTTGCTCGCTGTGGACTTCCACTCTTGGAACGTGAACGTGAACGAGAGCCTGGAATACAAAAAAAAACATTATGAAATTGGTTCGAAATCAAAGAGAAAACGTGCTTCGAAACATCTAAATAATGGGCAAATGTCAACCGGTTTTACCTCTACTTTTTACAGAGCCACTGCGACTGCGATTTGAGCGCTGTGATCGGTTCGATTGATTCGAACGATTCGAACGATTTGATTGATTTGACCTGTTTGACGCAGCACTTCTACTGCGTGACCGTGAACGTGAGCCTAAAAATGGAATGAGTGAACATCGATTTGTAAAACAATAATCTAACATTAAAAAATCATTATCCAAGCAACTTACCACCACTGCGGCTCCTTGCAGATCTGCTTCGGTTCGAAGTAGCGCTACCGCTACGTGAGCGTGAGCCTAGAATTCAGCAGATAAATAACATCATCACCAAAATGATATAAAT